AGTTAAACATGGACAAATACCAAATGAGATGGGACAATCCCAGCTCAACATGGACAGATACCAAAAGAGGATGGGATGATCCCAATCTACTCTGGGAAAATCCCAGCCAGAGATGGGATGATCCCAGCTCAACATGGACAAATACCAAAAGAGGATGGGATGATCCCAAATCAATCTGGGAAAATCTCAGTTCAACATGGACAAATACCAAGGGGGGATAGGGTCATCTCAAACCAATCTGGGAAAATCCCAGCAAAAAAGGGGATGATCCCAGTTAAATGTGGACAAATACCAAATGGGATGGGATCATCACAATTTGATATGGACCAATGCCTGAAGGGTAAAGCATCATCCCAAACCAGCCAAGGAAAGTCTTGGAAAGAGATGGGATCATTCCAGTTCAATCTGATCTAGAAAAATCTCCAAATTACATAGGATCATCTCACTACATCACAGACAAATCCAAGCAGGGGACAAGATCACCCTGAGTCAGAATAGGACAGGGAGATCCCACAACAGGAACAGAATTATCGAATAGCATGCTTAGGCTGCTGGTGACTCAGCATGACAGGGGAAAATACTCCTGAAATGCACTAAGGTTATTCTGTAACATATAATCATAGGTAAGTTCCCAGCAGCTTAAAATATTATTGTCCTTTTCCAGCAGTTTCCATTTTTTACATGTTGCAGTATTTTGTTTGTAAACCAACTATTATGTTATGGTAGGACCTGGATGAACCTAAGGTTGAACTGGGACAGTGATTCAGAGTAGCCCTCACGTAGGTTCATCCCAAGTCACATGAAATTGCATAAGCATGCAGAGCACACCTTTCAGCCATTTTTGTTTTCACAAAAATTTATAATCAATTGTATGCGTGGGGACATATAGTGGATAAAATGGGTGTTGGCTTGTGGATGCTGGGCTGCCACAAAGAGCCAGCAATTTGTCTCATGCAAGACATGTTCTGCCTTTGACAATGATGCAGCAGAGGGAAGGATAATGAATATGTAGTACTTACTCGGACTGGTATCTTTGTGCATTTTTCAGTTCAGGCACTTGGATAAAGCTGCACAATTCAAAAAAATATCATATCTTTTGGATCAGCACATTAAATGGATTTGTGACATATCTTTGCCTGGTTGCAAGAGTGTTACATTATTTAAAGTTGGATGAGCCTGAATGAGAGGTATTGTAATCCTGCAGATGTATATGCTTGGTATTGTCAAACATCTTGTATTCCTTTGACTATAAGCCATTTTAAGTAACATTGATAGAAATCCAGGGTAGATAAATCTACTTTGTGATATGCAGTAAATTATATGATAAGTAGGAATGACAAAGTTATATAGTCAGTTAAGGAAAAGAGATATGGTTGAATTATCTCCTAATCAACTGAATTAAATCAGGTTAATTTGTAAATGGTTATATGTCACAATTAGTTACACTAACCTTTGGTCAAAGTCTCCTCCATCAATCTATAGTATATGATATTACACTAGAAGCTGGACAAATTAAGGTTCAATTGAGAGTAAACACCATTTGAAATTTGTATATATGTTATAAATGATGAAAGCAGGTAGTATTGTATTCTGCTTCATGGCTATTAGTACTATTGATAATGTATTGATGTTGGCTACATTTATGCAGGAACTATTTTTGCAGTAAAGCCCCCCTGACACCATGTGACATGTGGCAAATGTCTGGGATTATCCCATCTAATGGGATTATCCCACCATAACAAATGGTCTGATACCATGGGAAAATCCCAGAAGGGTGGTATTATCCCACTTCTGGGATGATCCCATCCTTGCTGGAGCACTTGGGATGATACCAGGAAAAACAAGCTCTTAGCTTTATACATTTACACAGATAGTTGAAGCTAAATGCTTATGTTTTGGGGGTGACTGAAGTGCTCATGTAACACAAGAGCACCCTCTGTAAAATCTCCCAGTGGAAGAACAAGGCAAAGGATGTGATCCTTATCATCCTATGAGTAGTGGTGCTCACATTAATATCAACAACAAGAGATAAAAAAGGAGTGACTGGAGATCCTGGTTTTCCAGAGAGCATATCAACTATCTTGGCTAGCATAGAGTATTCTTTTGGTAGGCAGAATTCCATCTAGGAAACACATACATCAGAGAAGTTTAGGCATGAAAGAAATAGCAGAAATCTTACAACATCAGAAATTCATTGGAAAACATCTGCAAAAGCATCCTGCAAGTTCAAATAAAGTTGCTCATTGTCTGAGCCCTCCTTTGACAAATAAGGGATCATCTGGGTTTTGTTAGTGACATCTAATTCATGTGGGTGCACATCAATAGCTGCCCCATAACCCTTGATCAATGTCTTTATGTGAGTGATATGTATATATAGAGAGAGGGGGGGAAACATACCTGAGTCCCATATCTGTTCGAGAAGTGGAGACATTTGAAAGGTTCATTGTTACCCAGAATACTGGAGAATACTGGCAACCCATCAAAGCTAGCCTTGAGGTGGGCCACTAGAGTTGTCTTCATATGCCTAGGCATTGAATGTCATATGAACGCCATCAATGTGTTGTTGTCATTTCATATATCAATTGCTGGAGAAGTAGATAACATGGGAATGTGTATATAAACTCCATCCCTTTTGCATCCATTAGGATAAAATGTAGATAGCTGTATATCAAGTGTCAGATGAGAAAGGAACATAGGAAAGTGACTAGAACTTACCTTGGCAGACAAACCTTGCATATCTGTGATGGCAGGGGCATTGCATGCTAAGACACGCTCAGATATTGTTCACCGATTGTTTTCTGAGCGGTCATAGCTGGCTGGAAATGTAATGTTGCGTTCTGCAAGGCGCTGAAACTTTGTCTTGATCCTGCTGTCAGGCAACAAATACGAAGCTATATAACAACAATCAATGCCTAGCCAAGTCCTTGATGAAAGGCGGTGGATCAGAGTATGAGAGCTGAAGAGTATCTGTATAGGCACAAATCCAAACTAATATTGAACTAAGGAATAATACATCAAGTATGTACTCCTTATATAATGAACAGCGAGGGTCAGACCGAAAAAGGGAAAGAGTAAGAAAGTGGTCTGACCGAACAACTAACCGATCAGATAAAAAAGAGAAAGTGGTCCGATCTTCCATATTTACTAATTGTGTGAGAGAGAGTCTTGGTAAGAGATGCATGATTGGCTGTATCAGTAAGCCCATGACAAGGCGCTGAGTCACAGCCTACATTGCTGATTAATATCCCTCTGAAGTATTCCCGGACATAGCATTGGATCATCGCTATGTCATCTGGATATCTTCTTGAGGGTCTACAACAGTTCTCCTTCATTGTAAGTACAATAGGACGTGAGTATGAATGGAGAATAAGAAGAAAAAAGATAAGAGTAATAAGATACCAGCCGTGATCTCTAGTCCAAGGGCGAGAAGAGTGACATGGAATGAGTTGGATAGCCACGACATGATGGGAATGCAATGAGGAAAATTGATTCCTCACAGCACTGGAATTTGATTAAACAAGTTTATAGGTACCTCAAAGGTACCAGTGACTGAATACTGCAATATCAACAAACAGACTCAGATGACGAAGTCACAGGCTTTGTTGACGCAGACTGGGATGCTGATACGAACAACAGACAATTAGTTTCTGGATATGTTTACATATTGTCAGGAGCTGCAGTGGTTTGGTCATCAAAAAGGCAGACTTCAATTGCTCTGTCAAGCACTGAAGCAGAGTATGTAGTGGCATCTGCTGCTACGAAGGAAGCACTTTGGCTATGAACCTTACTAATGGAGTTAGGTTGCATTTTTTGCTAATGCAATTGCCAATTGGTTGTTGACCATTAACATAGTGGGTCCTTTCACACCAAAACCTTCCATCAACGAACAAAGCATATTGATATTCATCATCATTTCATTTGAGAGAAGCTGGAAGCTGGCAAAATTAAACTTGAATATGTTCCTACTGAACACCAAGTTGCGGATGTCTTTACAAAGGGACTACCGAAACAGAAACACAATATGTTAGTTTTACGAATGGGTATGAATTCACTGCCTCTCTATTGAGCGGGTGTGTTGTTTTTACATTTCTTACTTACTCGAAGCAATTAGAGATCAGGTGACTTTAGATTACATAGCATAGATTTTATATTCAGCCACACTGCGCGCTGCCACCCAAAAACTTGGACTGAGGTGAGTAGTATGCAGCAGTGCTATACTAGAATTTGTTTAACTGATTACATCCTACTGTAGTGTTCTCGTTTTCACAGGTTAGGATTAATACATCATCTTTAGTTCCAAAAACTCGGACTGAGTGTTCTCATTTTCACAGAATAAAACTTATTTTATGTTATCTTGACTAAAATTGTACCGCTGTATGTCTTGGAATTGTCTGCAATGGAAGGGGTAGAACTTAGTACAGACTAGTCTCTTTCTTTTTTTTTCTTTCTTTTTCATTCACTTCATTTGCTCGTTATGTGCTGCTGTCTTTTCCTCCTCCCAGATACAGTGGTAATACACAACATTCATAATTGTTGTACAAAAATCAACAAATTCGCAACCGATAGTTCATATGTCAAGATGTTCAAACCACTTCCCACTTCCCACATCTTTACATCGATCCTACACTAATTGTCTTTATCTTATCTGATACCTTTCCAGACCTACTCCAACATTGAGGACCACCATGCGGATCACTTTTGCCTTCTTCATAGTTTTAGTGCTCAAGCCTTCTCAGCTGCCACGTACAATGCCAGTGGCGTTATTTTCGTAGATGCGACAACCATAATGGGTGCATGTGCAGACTGCCGGTCACGGTCTAGCTATAACCGATGAGAGAGAGCATCTGTTCCGTTTGATTCGTGAGTATGGTGTATCATATTATAATGACCAGGTCCGCCTAACAGTTCTCTTACCACTTCACCCAGGGGTCTGGATGATTGGCCGTATGATAAAATCTGATCGCTCACTACATGTATGTTGAGATATCACACACAGCCAGTACATCAAACGAGGACTGAATTCATCAATAACTAGTGTACACCACCATAACGAGTCAACAGTTGTTTGAATGATAGTAACACTGTGCATGACCGCGGGCTCGAGAGGGACTTGAACTTGAACAACTGAAAAGATCCGAATTTAAGATTGTGAAATTAATGACGTGGCCATCCCAAGACTCACCACAAACTGTAGGCATTCTCAAATATATTTCTGGCTTTTCCAGTAATCGATCCATTGTATCACATTATCATGATTCAATGGCCTAAGAGCCGCTACTGCAGGACTTAGAGACTGGATCTTCTGCGCCATAAATGCAGGAAACCCAAATGCTTCAGCGTACAAGTCGTCATCTTTCTCGGCCAACCCGTTCGACTTGTTCAGTCCACGGAAGAAATCCAGCAATTTTATGGCAGGCTATATGAATTCCAAATGTAAAATCTGAAATGTAAGAATGCATAATAAGGGGCCAGAAAAACGCACAAGTTTCGCCAGATCGATGTCTTGGTTTTGTGCCACATGATGCTCTAACTTTGAACACCACTCATTGAAAGGGATCAAGGAAATTGGCTCTGACACCACGCTGGCATCCTTGAGGTGAGTGGCAATGTTGTCCATGATAATGTTCCAGGACATAGGTCGAGGGTGCACTAAGTTGATTAGACCTGGAGACGATTTCTCAGAAAAGGCAACGTCAATCATGGCTTGTGCAACCGTGGCTGCTGGTACCCAAGAAACAGCCTGGAAGCAAACATAATCAGAATTTTGTTGATGCAAACACAGTTAAAGTTCTTACCCCTAGAGCAATGGGAAGAGCCCCCAGAGTGATGCTCGTTTTGACAAGAATCGGCAGCCATTCTGTCGTCGACCAGTTACCATTCGGCGGACCACCGCATATTTGACCTACTCTTACGGAAGAAGCAGCCAAACCACTTCTAGTCAGCATCTAGGAAGCGATATAAATCATCGTATAACCCCAATAAAATTTCAGAAGCACCTGTTCTGCGACAAATTTACTTTCTCCATATCCAGGGCCGACCGCCTCAACACTCTCCACAGCTTCCTCCGGTACTTTGCCGTTCTGGGTATTCCATGATTGAACCGAAGCCACAGAAGACACAAATACGAATCTTAAGTCTGACGCATTGGCTGAACTGATGGCAAAATCAATCAAGTGGCGTATACTCTTTACATTGGGCTCAAACGATGACAAAGACAGATTGAAGTCGAGTCTCCAGGCGTTGTGGATTATGGTTGTAACTGTCGAGCGGATCTGTTGAAGGACGGGCGTTCAATAATGTCAAGAACATATCATGCGGCCGAGATGAGTACCTGCTCTAACAAAACTGGATCTAGACCCAAATTTGCCGACTGTATGGCATTCCCTGTCACAAGAACGAGTTTTTCAGAGGCTAGCAGGTCGGTATTTAGGGCTCGGTCTTCAAAGGCTCTCCTCTGTCGGTCTGCAACAGACACCTCCGCAGACGGCCTGTTGAAGGCATACACGCGCTCTACATCCTTCCGCCCAAGCAAGTTTGCTAGAATGAAAGAGCCGAGGCCGCCAGTCGATCCTGTAAGCAATACTACAGCACTGGGGAGTGCCTTGGGGTCTGATAATGACTTAGGGACGATCTTCTTGATACCGGAAGTATATGTTTCTATCATCTTCTCAATCCGCTCCTTCTCCTCCGAACCAGTGGTAGATATCATTGTGGGATCGGTCACGAGGCTTACAAGGTGAAGTGATAGGGACTTGATTGTGGGGTGGGCATAAACAATATTTTGCTTGATGTGATCTGCCAGTTCTTTCGTGGAGGCATCGCAACTGGATCGCAAACCACGTATTATACGTCCCCTCAATGACGAGGCGCTCAAGCTAAAAATAACATTAATGAATGCTCTCCCGGATAAAGAATATAAATAGAGCTACCTGTCAAATCCTTGCATGAAGAGATCATCTTCTAAGGAAACCTTAGTACCAGAACCTAGATTCTGGGCCACTTCGCCCAGCCATTTCTCCACGGCATCGAAAGACCAGGACTCCGGGGCGTATTGAATACTAGTGACTGAATCCGAGGCACCTACTTCAACTAGACCATACCTACACCATTGTTATCATCCAAACTGAAGGAGACTCGTGATTTCACTTACAGTGCCTTGATCTCTTGTTCATATAGCTTGAGCGAGGCCTTTCTCATGATGCTACCCTTTGCAGCGCGTGGCAGAGATTTATCAGGATGAGCGAACAAAATCATCTCTTTGAATATCCGACTGAAAGCCGGGGCGCCCTTGTTCGCCTCCTCAATTGTTGGCCTTGATGTATGCGAGATCAAAACCAAGGCGATGTAAGTAGAATAAAACCCACCAGATCTTGCTTTTCATTTCTTCTATCTGATTATTGTCGTTGAAATCTATCTCGTCACTTGTTTCGATTAAAATCCCAGCTTGGTTCTGCTCTCTCCCAAACATCAAGGCACCTTTTACAAATGGACCTGTCATGATTATGTTTTCCATCGGTGCGGGGACGGTCTTTTCGCCTGAAGCATGGATGATGACGTCGTCGGCGCGACCGACACTGTTGATAACCAACCCTTAGTCAGATTCACCATTATCGATTTAATTTACTGAAACTTGCATTTTCCAGTATTCATCTCTCGTGGGATGCTTTTCCCACAAATCTGAGGTTGCATAACCTTTGACATCTGGCAAATTTTCAATTGCTGGCTGGTGAGTTTTACAAGTCTGTAACCCAACGCGTTATTACTGCGTAACAAACCATGAATATGAGCTTGTAATGACTCACCAGAACGTGGCACTCGTAAGTACCATCGCCTTGCGGGATCCACCTGATGTTGGTCATAGCTGTGAACTTCATCCACTCCCAATCCCAGATGATCGGTTGACCCTTTCTCGGGAAGCAGTCTGCAGGCGCACCGAATTCGGTGCCTCCATAGATAGGGCTTAGTCGTACGCCTGCAGAAACAAGTGCATTGCCGACCTTTGGAGCTAGAGCTCCACCTGCAAAGGCCTACGAGCATGGTAGGCAAATAGTAAGTCAAAGCTAGTACAAAAAGAAACAAATCCTAAGCTGGTTTGACAAACGTACAACAAACTCTAAACCTTTCAGATACTCTACCGCCTCAGGTGATTCTGACCATAACTGGAGGAATGTAGGAACCACCATAAGCGTATTCGCTTTCGTCTTTTCCGCATATCTGAGGATATTTACGGGGTCAGGTATGATGGGTCGTCCACTTTCCAGTGTAGCTGTAGGGGGGAAAACTGAAATAGAACAGACAGAGAACAGTGGTACGAGGAGTTGAGTGGTAAGCCCCAAAGCATGGAACGAAGGTAAAGCCAATCCTCCCATACGTAATCTAGGCTCATAGTCCCGCATGTCTTTGGGAACTTCAAAGAAGTAAGAACAACCATGAATATTTCGAACTGATGGATGATAGGACACCACTCACAGCATGACGCCCAATGCAAGACGACCAGATGAGATTGAGGTATGGGTTTAGGAAATCCGGTGCTTCCTGACGAATGCAAATATAACGCCACGTCATTAAGGCGAGCTGGAACCGGAGGAACAGGCTCGAATGGATCAGACTCAGTTTCACAGCCAAGTTTGGGGTATAAGTCTGCGAAACTCGGTACATCTTGAACAGTCAAGTCAAAAGTAGAGGCCTCGGGACCTGACTGAGCACTCCCGAGTTCTGATTTGATGCCATTTAAAAGAGCATGGAGGGGTTGCTGCGTCATTATCATGTGGTGACAAGAAGTACGCTTCAAAAGATTGACGATGGCAGCTGGAGGGTTGCGTGGCGAGATAGGGAACGGCTAATGTGTAAGATGATTGGCTGAGCGTGAACCACTCTCCTTCGATTATTTATCCACGTACCACAAACCCCGCCTTGATCAGGCCCATTAGCACAGTCTGATAGTGCACAATATCAATAACAGCAACAATGGCCACCACTTGCCCAATACCTCCAGCGGTACTATCCCGAAGCAAACGAGCAGCTCGATGGGCAGCTCGTCCAAACTCGAGAAAATTGATCTCGATGACCTTATCTCCACCACCATTTTCTTCAGGGAAAGCATAGAACGTTTGGGCTGGATTGTGCTGAAAATGATGCTCTACGACATCTGTGATGAGGACAGACCCATCTAAGGGAGGGTAAACTGGATGATTCTCTGTTACTGCCATCACTGCAACGATTGCAAAGAGAAAGGGGATTTCTTATAAGCTATTGATTCTATTGATCATGGTCAAGCTGACCTAATCCAATATGTCGATATCTAGTACATAAGAGATCATGATCGTCGTGCCACAAAAGTGCAGACATGTGAACATTCAGACTGAATATTGAATACTAAACATTTTGTCGTTATCAGCCTAACTTCAGTACTAGTAGATGGGGCATAGCTTACGGTGGGTGTACGTGTATCTACAGTACATCTCAAGCAGTATCAGATGCTAACTGTGACGTGCGCAACTGGATTGCCTGATGAGTAGTGTGAAACCATGTACAGATCTGAAAAAAGTGGTCAGAACATTTCTGCAATCTGATCATTAGTGTTCTGATGGGAACTCACGGTAAAGAGATTTTGCGCGCATGATCAAAACTTAGAATTTCGATCACGTGCACGTGCTAAAATCCAAGATCCCAACTGGAGAAAAAGAAAGAAACCTCAAAAAGAATCTAATAAGGAAAATAATCAAGGACGTTACGCATGGTGATAAGGACGAGCTTTCGACGACGATACGGTTGTAGATGGGCGAGGGGTTGTAATTTTGGGAATGCGAAGAGAGCTTACTGCCCGCTACTAGTACCAGACTCAGTTGGTTGACTTATTGTATGCCTCAAGGGGTAAAAACCTCAGAATGGTCTTACACACGACATGTACTTCCATCAAGACTCCAGCAAGGTCCGAACCGTGATGAAAGGGTGATAATGTGGAGGAATGATCATGATATGACAACAGTACGACGCACGGCATGATTTCTAGGCCTTAACAGCGGCAGAGCATGCAAAGAGAGCGGCCAAATACTCTCAATGAAACATACAACCACTGACACGCTTGCAACCGACATCGCCAATTGCGTATGACAGGGAAAAAATTAACGCTTTAGACTACCTTGGACCACTACACAACTGATCATCAGCAACAACATGAGGGCATCACGATAAATTTTCTCACTGGTACTATTAGATGACCTCTATTCCAATTTATCATGATGCATCGAACAATCAATTGTTTCTCAGGCCCATGTTGGTGATATCATGACGGAATGCCCAGCGGAAGCCACAACCCATCATTGCGGTTCATAATGATATAAATGCACGATTTGAGCAATGTTTGCGAGTGCCTACAGGAGATGCTTCGTGGCGAATCAATGAATCATGTCGGATTGCAATATCCTACTTTGCTGTTGGTCTGTTGTCAAAACAATTCGTTGGGTGGCTGGGGTCACGGTCTAAGACGGTCTAAATCCGATGCTGACTTTACACCAACAAATATCTCGAATATCTGCATTCATTGTCTTTTTTTTTTTGAAAAAAACAAAAAAAAGTTCAGTGCTGGCCGTGCACACCTTCCACTGGCATATCATTCATTCAAGGATTGACGGTCACAAGGAGCCTACGGCTAACTGCATTTGGACTTTGAAGTAGTTTGAAACCTAATAGCAGACCGTGACATGGCAGCAAGTATCCGGTTCTTCATAAGACATCCTCCTATTTTTGACACGAAGCCATAGTCAGATCCTTGGTTGACCGAATCCATCATGTTCGGAACTTTAGGACCAGCTAGTATCATCGTCTTCACAGCCCTGTACGACTTTATATCTGCCTTGCGCCTACGCCTACCAAAGAGCTTCCGATCACTTTGGCGTGCCTTTACTTCTCCCTTGCTTGATTTTCTGAGGTTAGAGGATCTAGAGGGCCCACTGGATTATGATATCCCGTCATTTATCTGGGTCCATCGAACTCTCATTACATTGGGTCTGGTTAACACTTTTGGACATCTTGCATATCTCGTGTGTGCTGTGGATTTGAGGAACTATGCAGGTAGTATTCAGGGGTCTGTCGGATGCATCACGTGGGTGTGTAAAATCTCAATCCATTATTCTGCTATCAGTTGAATCGAGGACTACTCCATGACAGGCTTATGCATCCCTCAGAGTCTGGATAAAGCCACCTAAAACACCACCTTACTTGTTAATGCTGTTCTCCATCGCGCATGCGGTGACTGCTGCAGTTGGTTTCGTTATTAGAGATATCACTGCCGGCTCAGTAGCCATATTCGTCCTTCGTATATTGTTCTCGATACTATATGCGTGGGTTGCCGGTATTCTTCCCTTGCAAAGTATAAGACCTGCCAAAAATGTTGCCAAACCGACAGACGTATGTGCGCTTCAACCCTCGAAGTATCCATTATCTCATTGCAGACATAATAGATTCCTTCTAGTAGTATTTCCTGCCCTGAAGATAATGTCAATTTATGGTCATGGTGCACAGTGTCATTTGTCGAGCCGCTTCTTTCCCTAGCAGAGAAGCGAACGTTGAATGGATCAGATATCTGGTGTCTGTCTCCTTTTTTCAAGCATAAAAATCTCTTCAACAAATGTTTGAAATATCGCTCACGGTAAAACCAATTTCATAATGTAGTGAATGAACGCTTATCCTTTGTAATCAGATATCCGTCTCACTCCATACTTCGCTTTTTGCTAGTATCCAACTCACTCGACCTACTCCTTGATATTGCTTTGGAGATGTGGGGTGCTATTGTCGGTGAGTCTTTCGTTACTGGCGATTGATAAGTTGACAACAAAGTACGACCCTAGGATTTGTTCCACCCTATGCACTGCGAGTAATTTTATCCTCACTTGATAATCCCACGACAGAATCTGTTTCAAGAGCATATTGGTGGGCATTCATAACTTTTGTCGCTCATCTCTCTTTTGCGCAAGTGGACTGGCTCAAGAATTGGCACACCAGAAGATGTTATGAACGGACAAGAGGTCAACTTTTTTGTTCTTTGCACTACAAAGCGTTACGACGACAAGACATCAGTGGGCAAGTGAGCCATGAATCTGAGGGAAGCGGCAGGGCAGATCTCGGAAAAATTGTTAATCTCATGCAGTAGGTGATATTCAAAACTACTATACCAAGAAGAAGCTGATCTCCCTAGGGGCGATGCTTATGCTGTTGCTCAACGTTTCTGGGAGTTCGCTGCCATCTTTTCCTCCCCCATAAGACTTGGAATAGCTCTTGTATTCCTTTACCAGTAAGTGTGATTTTATTCTAAACTGGTGTGCCGTATCAACGCCATACTGCAGAATACTTGGATGGAGCGCACTATCAGGAGTTGTAGTGATTCTTGTAGCATACGTATTGAACTATCCTTTAGCAAAATACAATATCTATGTGAGTTTTCTGTTTAAAGCCGGTTCAAGCGACTCACCTTTTCAAGGTTACTCGAGCTTCTTGGAAAGCTAAAGATAGGAGGATGAGTGTTGTCAACGAACTACTCCAGAGTATCCGTTTCTTGAAATACTATGGCTGGGGTGAGTCAGCTTGGGCAATTTTGTTTATATGAGGTTTACTTTATGATAGAGAATCATTGGGCGCGTAGTGCTCGCGAATCGCGGGAGACTGAGCTTGACTGGCGCATCAAGGAGAACATCGTTGATACCATCATCTCGTTTATTTGGTCAGGAAAATATTTTAGCTTTATTTTTGTGGTCAGCCTACTAACGTATCATCAGGACATGGATACCATCCGCTACCGCTCTCGTGTCTTTTCTGTGCTATACCTTGATCGCCAAAGAAAAACTGACCGTGGCAAAGGCATTCACTTCTCTCGCCTTATTTTCACAGCTCCAGGAACCTATGACGGCGCTTCCAGGACAATTTTTTGCTATACTTCATGGTATGCTGCTATTCTCCATCCTATCTAAGTTTGCCTGACAGATAGCAGCTTATGTCTCCATGCAGCGCATAGAAGGATTCTTGAGTGAAGACGAGGTGCCCGATTGGGCATCGTCTTTGACATCCCCAGAAGCCACTGCAGATCTAGATGTAGGCCCACATTCTGAAATTGGATTCCACCAAGCAACTTTTGAGTGGCACTCGGCCTCTACTGTTTCGTCTGAAGCACGCTTTAGGCTTGGACCACTAAATGTCCAATTTCCAAAAGGTGTTCTCACTTTAATAACCGGAGACACAGGCTCAGGGAAGAGTGCTTTGCTGGCAGCATTACTGGGAGGTAATTACGGATTTCTTCTAGTATCGATCGACGACTAATTGCACTTTAGAAATGGACTGTATCTCGGGGAATGTTTCTCTGTATAAGAGAGAGCACCAAGTCGCTCTCTGTGCTCAGAATCCCTGTAAGTATATCAGGGCTCATAGTGTTGTGAAAATTGATTATCATTTTTCAGGGTTGGAGCATGCTACTATACGCGACAACATTATATTTGGGTCAGAACGTGGATACGATAAAGAAAGATACGAGGCTGTCGTTGAAGCTTGTGCTCTGGTTCGTGACCTTGAAGTTCTGGACGCTGGTGATATGACAGGTATGTTTTCGCGTGCTCACTCTTCATATTCCTATCTCACCACGTTATGTAGAAATTGGTGAGAAAGGCATCACATTGTCCGGTGGTCAACGAGCTCGCGTCGCTTTGGCGCGTGCCATGTACTCCGAAGCGACAGTATGTCCACCTAATCTTTATGTGGGATCCAAATAACATTCTACCATCGCAGTGCATTCTTCTTGACGACCCGTGTGTTCTTTCCTCTCTATTTATCCGATCTACTTTCGAACCTTGTCTAGTCTAGCTGCTGTGGACATGCATACAGCTCAGCACATAGTCCAGTGTTGTCTGAGCAAGCTTGGTCAAGGCCGGACTATCGTTCTCGTTACTCATCATACCAGCCTTTGCTTGCCTGTCGCCTCCTATGTTGTTGAACTCTCTCGTGGTCAAGTTATTCGGACAGGTTCAGCCCGAGAAATAAGCAATGCGGGCCAAGGTCAACCTGAAACACTGGTCGAAGCTGATGAAAGCACTGCAGAAGACGAATCCCGGTCTTTAACGCCAAACAATGAAGCAGACATCTTATCCGGGAAACAAACACCAGTGGCGTCCCCCACTGTCAAGGGAAAGTTAGTAGAGGCGGAAGTCCGTGCTGAAGGACATGTACCGTTTCGTACATATTGGACTTACATCGAATCTGCTGGTACACTACCTTGGATTCTGACGTTTGGGTTGATGCTTTTGATACGCTTCATTAACATTGGAAACCAGGTATTTTGATTTATTACGCTCAAGAAAAAGGGAAGTTCGCTGAATCTGCACCTCAGGTATTCTTGGCGAAATGGGGGGAAGCCTACAATCTGTCCACCTTTTATCCGACCTCTATTATAGATTATCCATGGGAGCATCTCCCGCCTCCTGATATCGATGTCAAGCCGTGGCTGTGGATATATCTATACATTTCCATGGCCGGAGCTTTCTCTGTCCTTGGGTATATTGCTCTAGGTTATTATACAAGCCTTCAAGCTTCGCGTTCCCTGTTCATACGTCTACTGAATCGGCTGGTTAGAGCGCCATCTCGCTTCTTCGACACTACACCGATTGGCCGAATTCTCAATCGCTTCACTACAGACATCAACACGATTGATGGCGCGCTTCAACCTTCCGCTCGAGCTGCATTATCTGGAGTTCTCAATTTCGTTGCGTCGTTTATAGTCATTATAACTGTTATACCTACCTTCGCACCATTTGCACTGGTGATCGCCTGGTTGTATGTCCGGCTGGCCCCGCGGTATGTAAAAGCTCTGCGGGACTTGCGTAGGCTTGAGAGTGTGTCGTTGTCACCTGCGTTTGCAGGCTTCGATGAGCTGTTGCGTGGTCTCACTCATGTTCGAGCGTTTTCGATGGAGTCGAGATATCAGGATGCTTTCTATTGTAAGGTTGATACGTTCCAGTCCTTTGACCATGTATATGTAAGTCGATTAGCCCCTGCGTTGCCTTTCAGCACTGACGAAAGGTAGTGGATTGTCAACGGATGGCTTCGTTGGAGATATGACTGTGAGTGTCAATGAATATATTTGACATCTTGCCCTCATTATGCCTATAGGTCTTGGATCGGTCGTTGTTTATCTGACTACTTTATTTGCTCTCTGGAAGGGGGTAACAAACGGTTCTACTGCTATTGTTATCGTACAAGCAGGAATATTTGCCGAAGCTTCGCGGCAATTAGTGAGGTATTTACATTTCAGTCAGCGTCAGGGAAAGGAAGATGAACTGAAACCTGCATTTCCAGAGTACTTGCACAGCTTGAGCTTGATTTCAACTCCGTTGAGCGTGTAGTCGAGTACCTCGAAGTTCCCCAGGAGTCCCCTTCGATTATCGAGAGTAATAGACCTCCAGCATATTGGCCCTCCAGTAATGGCGAATTAGTCGTTGAAGACTTGGTCGTGAAGTATGCTGTAGACTTGCCACCTGCTCTCAAAGGCTTGTCGTTCACTATCAAGCCGTCTGAGAAAGTTGGTGTGGTGCGTTTTCAAGTTTGTGCTTATATACGAGATATTAATATTTCTTTCCGGTCGTGTTAGGTGGGAAGGACAGGGTCAGGTATGTGCATCGACTTTCATCCGAAGCTATGCAGCTCATATTTTTTCCAGGAAAATCCACGTTAGCTCTGTCATTGCTTCGTATGGTCGAAGCTAGTAGTGGTAGAATACTGTAAGTATCGTTTCCCTCAAATGTTACTACTACTAAATGCTTGGATAGAATCGATGGAATTGACATAGCTTCAATCGGCCTCGAAGATTTGAGGACTAGAATCGTAAGTGGCGTTCGCTGCAGAGTTCGCGTCTATTGCTTTTACTAACTCATGGTTCCTAAGACCATCGTCAGCCAAGACGTGTCTTTGTTTTCAGGGACCATCAGAAGCAACCTGGATCCTTTTGGAGAGCACACAGATAGAGACTGCTGGGACGTCCTCGAACGTTGCCATCTCGTAAACCTTCTCAGACCCGCGTCCGGAGACGATATCACGCTGGACATGCCTATCAGTCAGACGGGTGCACTTAGTGCTGGAGAACGGCAGCTGCTTGCACTGGCTAGAGCGATTCTTAGAAGGACCAATATCATCATCATGGACGAGGCGACGTCGCAGATCGACTCGCATTTAGATGATCAGGTACGTCGCAGCAGCCACAGTATGATGACTTTTCCGTGCTGTGTATCTGACCTCAATGCAAAAATACAATCATAATGTAGATCCAAAACACGATACGAGAAGAGCTTTCAGCAGCACTAGTCATTACCATAGCCCATAGGCTGAAGACAATAATAGACTACGATCGTGTGCTTGTTCTTGATGACGGGCAAGTTGTAGAGCTTGGAGAGCCAAAGGAGTTGTTGAAACGGGCTGGTGGGGCTTTCAGAGAGATGTGTCAGAAGAGTGCGGACTGGCCGATGTTTGCCGCCATCATGGACGATGTGGGGCAGACCTGATATAGGCGGGGTAAGTTTTTTTAATTTAATTTGATTTTACCTTTGTAAGCTACAGGGGGTTGAAATATGGCCAAAAGATCAACACTGATTGGCTGGTATGTCCCGGTTTTATATATTGCCTTGTAGCCACGGCTCAGGCCCCTCATCACCTTCAAACTTCGTTGTAGGGGCGTACATCTGGCTGGTATTGGTAGAGCAGCCGATGCTGCTTCGTAAGCTCCCCCACAGCAGTACGCTGTGCGAAAATGCAATAAATATCGATGCCCTCGCACCGATACAGCTACTCACACAAGTATAGGGTACGAAATGGAATGCAGATGGTGAGAGCTGTGTATAAATATCCACTTGGACATCCGATAGTCAGCATCACAACAACGTGATGGATCTCGCTGGTAGCTGCCCGCTGCCCGCTATGTTGATAGTCACATCTCTTCCTCACGCCTTCAGATATAGGACATACGACATATATATAAGTGTTACCATGGTTGGCAATCTCGCTCAGGAGTTGCTCACACAACAGCCTTTGTATTGAGTGATAAATCGGTGAACTCTACAAGCAAGAATTGATGTGGCGGAGTATTTGATCTAGTTCACACAGCTTCAACAACCTTTATCAGTTTTTCATCGTCGTCAGTATCATATTCAAATGACACACCTTATAGGGGCTTCAGATTTGACAACCCGGGTAGCAAGGGTGTAGGAGCGCTCATTGAGCCTCCGCAAGAGCAGGCGCAGTCAGCGCAGCAAATTGTAAATAGCCAAGGAATCAAAATGGGTTTAGCCAATTGAGAAATGTGCGCAATGCCAATGAAAAGACACACTAGGAACGCAAGGCAAGGTTCTGAGTGAAATGAAAGTCGTACTTCTGCAACGGAAAACAAGTAACTCCACCACGAGCAGGCTCACTGCAGCAAGGCTGCAACTGAAACAGAGACAAGAGCGCGCGAAGGCCGCCTTGAGATCACCTACACAGGACACGAGACGGACCTCGGACACCAGAGCGTCTAAAGGTGGTCCGAGAATGCTTGACGTTGCGGTGGGCGACGACATGAACATGAGAGAGAGTAACCAGATAAGCGCATAAGAATTGTCAAAATGAATGCAAGGAAGGGTTGGATGGGTGCAGAGGAGTACTGACCCGTCGGGTATTTCTGCTGGGCATGGTGGCTGGGGTCATGTCTGATTGTAGTCCTGAATAGACACAGCACGCTGGGCACAGCTACAGCGCTGCGAATATTCTCTCCAAAGCTATTAGCCCGCATCCTCATTTCTTCTTCATTATCGTCCTTCCGTGCTGGTTCTCGGTTTCGCAGGACTCTGGCATCGCCGTACTATCTTACTTTCTAATTCGATACCATCATGTCTTTCCTCAGGCGACACCCTCATCCAGATGAATACCTCGACACGGATGACGAGAACGATGTAACCATTGATCCAGAGTTGCGCTTGCGCACCGTGCGCACAGCTGCTTCTGCCATAGCAGAGTCCATTCGCTCGGAACAGCGCGCGGAGAGGAGAAAGACAATGCGAAAGAAGAGGTCCTTCTTTCGCAAGAATCGTGATGCAGACAAGAAGAGACCAAAAACCTCAGATTCTCTCCCAGAAGTGTCCTCCTCAGCTACTCAAATACCCGGAGTAAGAAGAAATGTATATCTCAATATGCTTCCAACAGCTATGGAGGTCGACCAGCATGGTGAGCCTCTGGTTCGATATGGCCGGAATAAGATTCGGACGAGCAGTAAGTAGTCATTCATATATCTCCTCTGATTATCCCTCATCCATATCTCAAGGATACACCCTGCTCTCGTTTTTGCCGAAGAATTTATACGAGCAATTTCATCGGTACGTGTCGTCTTAATGAACCGAGTTACAGCCTTCAATGCGTGTAACAGTATATCCAATGTTTACTTCCTTGCACTCGTCATCTTTCAAGGTAGTTTTATAGCATTTATCTGATTGTTTTTCAACTGATACCTTGCAGTATTCCCCGTGTTCGGCGCGTCATCTCCCCAAACAGCCATGCTCCCTTTACTATTTATCTTAGTCGTGACTGGAGTTAAGGATGGAATTGAAGATTATCGTCGCGCACGGTTGGATGAAGAAGTAAACACCTCCGCAGTCACAAAGCTCGGACAATGGCGCAACGTCAATCAACCCACAGACTCTCGCATGTGGTACGAGAAAATGTTTGGATTAAATGCACCTGGAAAGGTCACGAAGGGCGTCCAGAAGCTTAGGGAGAAAGAAGCCGGTGAAGGGATGAGGATCATGTTGAGCAAAGGTACAGATGGCGACCGTTTCAGTATAAGCACCACGGATGTCAACGAGAGCAGTCTCAGTCTATCTGTGAGTCCACCGCTTGGTGCTGGTGGCAGACGGTTAGAGGATATAGAAAGCGTTGATTCGCATAGCTATCCTCCGGTTGTTTCGACGGACGAGCTGGGAGGTTGGGGACAATACAATAACTCATTTTCGAATTACCAACAGTCAATACCTTCACGGTCATCATTAGGTGTGGTGGATTGGAGAAAGCGTACGAGCGGGACAGCTAGATGGGAACGGACACTTTGGAAGAAGCTGGAAGTTGGTGATGTGGTGCTACTACGGGATAACGATCAGGTTCCAGCGGATATTGTCGTGCTTTCGAGTTCCGACCCTGATGGCATGTGTTATTTGGAGACCAAGAACTTGGATGGCGAAACGAACCTCAAACCTCGCAAATCTTTGCATGCGACGACCACGATCACTTCGGAGGAAGACATCGAAAAGTCAGCGTTTGTTCTTGACTCGGAGCCCCCTCACCAGAACCTGTATATATACAACGGTGTCTTGCGGTACACTGATCCCTCTACGTCTGAAGAAAAGAAAGAGCCTGTGACCCTAAACGAGCTTCTTCTCCGTGGTTGTACTGTACGCAATACCGCATGGGTTATAGGCCTGGTTGTCTTCACAGGTGCAGACACGAAGATCTACCTGAACGGTGGCGAGACGCCATCGAAGCGTTCCAAGATTGAGAAGGAGACAAATTTCAACGTGATAGTCAATTTCATAATCCTCGTGCTCATGTGTACCATAACGGCCGTGATCTACGGAGTCTTCGACAACCAACAAGACACGAGCATCAGGATTTACGAGCAGGGGGTGGATGCCACCAACTCGGCCATATTGAATGCTCTTGTCACTTTTGTGTAAATATCTCCTTTATCCTCTTTATATCATCAGCTGATCTTCCTGCAGTTCCTGTTTGATTGCTTTCCAAAATATTGTTCCTGTTTCATTGTATATTTCCATCGAAATTGTGAAGACGATACAGGCCTTCTTTATCGCGCAGGACCTTGACATGTACTATAAGCCGTTTGACACGACTTGCGTTCCGAAGACGTGGAGCATTTCGGACGACTTGGGCCAGATTGAATACGTCTTCTCAGACAAGACGGGTACGCTTACGCAAAATGTCATGGAGTTCCAGAAATGTTCTATTCACGGCGTTCCCTACGGCGAAGGCGTCACAGAAGCCCAACGTGGAGCGGCGACGAGGGAGGGAAGGGCCGATGTCGTTGACCCTGAAGAATTGTCTCGTAAACTCGGTGTCCTCAAGAAAGACATGTTGTCGATCTTGACACGAATGTTCAAGAACCGTTATGGTCAACCTGAGAAAGCCACTCTCATTTCACCCAAGCTCGCGGAAGATTTGGTCGACAGATCCTCGGAACAAAGTGCTCACATCATCGCCTTCTTCCGTGCTTTGGCTGTATGTCACACCGTTCTGTCCGACAAGCCTGAGCCGCAGCAGCAACCGTATCACCTGGATTACAAGGCGGAGTCTCCCGACGAAGCCGCGTTGGTTGCAGCTGCTCGCGACTTTGGATTCCCGTTTGTCGCCAAGTCGAAAGATGGAATTGACATTGAGGTTATGGGTCAACCAGAGCGGTATGTTCTTTTGAGGACACTTGAATTCAATAGTACCAGGAAACGGATGAGTGTCCTCGTTCGCGCACCCGATGGCCGAATTGTCCTTTATTGCAAGGGAGCCGACAGCGTTATCTACGAGCGACTCGCCCCGGACCACGATCCAGCGCTCAAGGAGAGCACAAACAAGGACATGGAGGCGTTTGCCAATGGCGGGCTCCGTACACTCTGTATAGCTTACCGCTACGTCTCTGAAGAAGAGTTTTTGAACTGGTCAAGGGTATATGATAACGCAACGTCTTCTATCGAGAATCGCGACGAGGAGATCGACAAGGCGACTGCTCAGATCGAACACTCGCTTATGATCCTCGGTGCCACTGCTCTAGAAGATAAACTTCAAGAGGGTGTTCCAGAGGCCATAGAGACGCTGCATCAGGCCGGCATCAAGCTCTGGATTCTTACAGGCGAGTTCCCTCGATGCTGACCTTGTGTCTCTTACTGACTTGCTGAAGCGTAGGTGACAAGCTGCAAACTGCTATAGAAATAGGTAATCGATAGTAGAAGTTCTTTCCAGGATATATACTAACATGTTGAATTTACAGGCTTTAGTTGCAACCTCCTCAAGAAAGACATGGAAATCATGATTTTATCAGCCGACACACTAGATGAGGCTCGTTCTCAAATAGAAGGTGGTTTGAATAAGATCGCTTCGGTCCTTGGCCCGCCATCTTTTAATGCACGCGATCGAGGCTTTGTACCCGGTGCTCAGGCATCTTTCGCTGTGGTCATAGACGGGGACACATTACAACACGCCCTCTCTCCCGAGCTCAAGTTACTCTTTCTCAATCTTGGCACGCAGTGTGAGACCGTTGTATGCTGTCGTGTATCTCCAGCTCAAAAGGCATTGGCCGTTAAACTTGTAAGTATCTCTGACAACCACCTCAGATGTGGTGTTCTCACACATTTTCTCGGTTGTTACAGGTGAAAGAGGGGCGGAAGGCTATGACTCTATCCATTGGAGATGGCGCGAATGACGTTGCGATGATTCAAGAAGCTAATATAGGTTGTGGGTTGCTAGGTCACGAAGGCTCTCAGGCTGCCATGTCTTCCGATTACGCCTTTGGTCAATTCAGATTCCTCACAAAATTGCTCCTCGTCCATGGCCGTTGGTCTTATCAGCGAGTCGCTGACATGCACAGCAATTTCTTCTACAAGGTGAATGTGGTTTCTTTTCTGGCACACCAAACCAACTAATCATTTATTCAGAACATCATCTGGACCATCCCACTGTTTTGGTATCTTCCTTTCAGCGAGTGAGTTGTTCTTATTCTAGGTACCGTGTTTCTTGAAGCTGATGCATAACCTATTAGCTTCGATGCTACGTACTTATATCAATATACCTTTATCTTGCTTTACAATCTTGTGTTCACGTCACTCCCGGTGATTGTTCTCGGAGGTATGTTCTAAGCTAACGCTCGAGTTACCATTTGCTGACGCTTTCCACAGCTTTCGATCAAGATGTCAATGCCAAGGCTGCATTGGCATTCCCGCAGCTTTATGTTCGAGGTATCAGGGGCTTGGAGTACACTCGCAGCAAATTCTGGCTGTACATGTTAGATGGTCTCTATCAATCAGTCGTCGTATTCTTCATCCCCTATCTCGTGTGGACACTTGGGCTAGCCGTATCATGGAATGGAAAAGGCATAGATTCCTTGTCAGACTTTGGAACAACTGTGGCAGTTGCGGCAATCTTCGCTGCCAATACCTACGTTGGCATCAACACCAACTAGTGAGCTTTTTCTCTGATTGATTGAGGTTCTCGAGTTGACTCAAAGGGTGTATCTGCAGCTGGACGGTCATCACGTGGATCGTTGTTATTGGGTCATCGCTGGTCATGCTCCTTTGGATTGTCATATACTCCTTCTTTGAGACAAGCGATTTCAATGATGAGGTCATTGTTCTGTTTGGCAACATCACGTTCTGGTCAACTGTTCTTCTATCCATATTTGTGGCTTTGGGTAAGCAAGACATAGCAGCTTTCAGTACGCTGCAGTAAACTAACACCACGTCTAGCACCCCATTTTTTTGCCAAATTCTTCAGATCTGTTTATATGCCTCTTGACAAGGAGATTATACGTGAGATGTGGGTCGACGGCGATTTAAAAGACCGGCTTGGCATACGACACCGGAAGGAGTCTAAGAATAAGCAAGGAATGGACCTCGAGTACGCTCCAATGTTCCGTGAGCCCCATGCTCGTTCGGTCTCGGAGGTTTCGAATCTACATCCTGTCTACGAGCCAGCCTTGACTAGGAGTCCAGCCGATAGCGAAATCATTCTAAGGAACCAGAATACGGTTGGATACGCTAGCACTCCTCCTTTAAGTCAAGTGGACGAGTCGCTTGAAAATTTAAATTCTCCATATTACACCTCTGGCCTGGTTGTACCTCCAAAGGACTATCAGTCAACGGAGACGATCCATGCTCCAATATCAGACTCGCCTAACCCCTCTTATTACTCCGTATCCGATATTCCACCACCTTCTCCTCAACCATCACCTATGTATCGATACCCGTCTGGAGAAGTTAGCAGCGGATTGTCTCCACAACGACCGCCTGGAATCTTGACTCCTGGTGTTTCTGGATCTTCTAGTGGATCGTTGCCTATACCAGACCAAAATTTTGCTTCAAATCGTCAGATGAGGGCCCCGTATCCTTCAGCGGCAGTCCCGGAGTCGTTCGAGATGCGTGTGCGAAGTCCACCAAATCATTATCCACCTCAATATCTGGCTCCTGACCCAGGCCAGGCAGGTTACCCTCTTACCAACGAGACTGAGCCGCCTCATATTGTTTTGCACGGGGCCGGACCTCCTCATGTAGAGGAGGGCGGCAATCAGGCTGGTTATGAGGCTGATCCAGAATTCCGGCCAGAAAGCTCGCTATCGTGGAACGGGCCTCGGGCTATATAAACCCAAGCTTTTTTGTGGCGCGTTTTTGTTTTATAGAATGCTATACTGTACTGATCCAAGGAAGAGAATTTTGCACCACTGTTGTACTCATCGCTCCTTTCCTCACCCGACCTTTAGGATTCAACTGGTACTCTTCTTATATTTCCATATTATTACTGCATGGACTAGGTAACTTGTACATAGTTTAGTAGGACCAACACCAGCAGGGTGTGTGACCCGCACAATTGACGGATAGCTGTAAATAGCCGATAGTTTGACGGTTGGAGCCGAAACAATAACGCAGGCGTGTCCCATGACTGGATCAAACCGAATCTTCTTTCTCTTTTGTTATCATATCGGTCTTAGACAAAGGAAGAGGCCCTACATCTATCGCCCAAATGTCTCATTACATCCATTTCCCCCACCTTTTTGTTTCCTCCTGTCCTTGGAGACTCGTCGCCTTCTCAGCGTCGCTTTCGCAACCGTCTCACTCTCGAGCTATATAACCTCCTACAAAGTGGAGAAAAAAACCAGTTAATACCTTGCCCAGCATGCGAACTGGATTTGCACACCCACTGAGCCACCCCGCCATTCCAATCAATACTCTTCCTGTCGAGCTTCTTTCTCATGTTTTCAACCTCAGTACACATGCGTATGCTGAATTGAAACCTGACGATCACCACCAAGACTCCCCGTTTAATCCTGAAAGTGTCACCATCCCAACGACACTTGCTTCAGTGAGCCGACACTGGAGGAATGTAGCTTTATCAACACCATCCATATGGACATCTCTCTGCATAACTGTAGACGATGTCGCCTATTCCGACGGAACTGATATCATAGACATGCGACGTCTTGTTACCCATCTCGTTCGAGCGCGCAATCTACCTCTCGACATCCTTATCGACGCTCGCGATCCAGATTGGGACTTTTCAGAGTCAGAGTGAGTTTCTTTTAGTGCAGACAAATCACGAGGGCTGATGGAATATATCAGGGAGTATGGATATGAACTTTACCCTAACTCTTGCGAACACCCTTTTCGCTCAAAGTTCATGACTCAGATTCTCGACGTCTTGTTTCCCCATTTACATAAATGGCGTTCACTGGCAATCCTCACTGATACTTGGGCACCAATGTATGCTGCCGTGAGACGCCTTGGCAGTACGGCAGCTCCTATCCCACTTGGAGCGGCTTCACCCACACCGATCGGTGCACCCCTTCTCGAGAAACTTACACTTATGCGTTGCAATGAATTCATCAGTCATGCTCCCGAATTCACTCCTCGTCATCTCAAGGATCCAGTATATGCTCCTTTCACCGCCTTATTTGGAGAAGATGTCGATCTTCAGTTGCCTATGAATCTTTTGCCGCGGTTGCGAAGCCTGACACTATCTGGCGTCCATGTGAATTGGAGCACGCTATCTCATCTCCTTTCTGGTTCCTCTACGGCCGCCCGTGACCACAAAGCTAGTTACGGCTTACAAACTCTTGAGCTTTCGTATCATTGCCCCGATGTTCGACCTAGCCACGATGAATTCCATCGTATCCTTAGAGCATGCCCCGACATGCGAAAATTAGTCATAAAGATCTCCGGCCCCCGGTCTAATGCAGAGGAGAGGGAGAACGGAGATTCGGAGGAACCTATCAGCCTTCCTTTACTGGAGGAAATAGTGCTGGCATATAACGATGCTGGAGAAGCGACCAAAGTCCTTAGCCTCATTCACGCCCCTAGTTTGAAGACGTTGGTGATCGAAGACGGAATGCATCCAGCTAATCCGGTAGAAGAAGATAGTGGTTGTCTGTTGGCTTACTGTGGGCGTGGTTTTTCCGAGGACCATTTCTACACGTCAGCTATATCCAGCGGCAGTCACGGCCTGGAAAGTTTAACATTTCAATCGAGCTCGTCTACAAAGCATAATCCACCTTTTCCCTTGTTGGAGCATTTGACTCTTAATCGAGTCAAGGCATGCCCAGATCCTTTTAAGGATCTTTTTCAGGGGTTACCGAAACTGCGACGATTATCGTTCTCACACACTCCCATCCATGCTCTCGAAGCACTGCTACCATCGCAACTTTTGCATGACTCCGAAGTCGGAACCATAGTGACTGTCCCATGTCCCGACATAGACTCGCTTCAAGTTTTTGGAGCTAGCAACGACGCGCATCATACCGTGGGTTTCGTGATGAGCGAAAGGACCAGGCATGGAGTATCCAACACGTGTAATATTGCGTTGCATTTCACCAGCGAGATTCCACCCGAGGCATTGGATATAATGGTGGACATGTGTGGAAACGCTAAGTTTTCTGTTGCTGAGATGTATACAGATCTCGACTGGGAGATGGATGATGAATCAGACGACGGGGATCCTTATGCGCCTGGTGGCGCTTTTAATGATCTTGAATTCGATGAGTTTTATACTCAGAGTGCTTTACTTTCTCATTGAGGTTGCCCAGTATTTATCTTCGTATTTGTCATCATCATGTTTATTTTATTAGCACTATGATTCTTTATAAAGCATAGAGAAGTTTCGGGGATAGGCTTGGTCGAACTATGAGACGATCCCCTCGAATCACATCAGTAATCTCAGGGATGACGAGACTGTACACTCAAGGTCAGTTCCGTGACCCAATATATCCGTGTCTTCACTCAAACATGTCTCTCAAGCCGACTTTGTCAGTCAGATGTCATACTATGATTCACACATGTGTGTGTGCATGGTTTTCTTCTACTCGCGTAATCGCATCGCATGTATGGCATTCACAGGTTCAGTGCAATGAATGCATACCACTTCCATGACCTCTTCAGGCTCTTTCTTTGTTAGCTTGCATATACATTCTTGAAAGCAGACTTTCACTCGTTGAATTCACTAATCTAGATTCATGGCCTCGGTTTATCAATCCCGGTGCTTATTATTGGAAACATTATGTGACTTGACACTTATCTCTCCATGCAGCTCGAGTCCCGTTGCGCGCCAAGATATCCCAGGCTGCCATTCACGAAAAAGGTACGCTTGAATATTATAAGTTATCGTGTCCATTGATCCATTCTCAGAGTCCATGTCCATAGTTCCCATTCACGATACTCCAATCCTCGGTATGGCGACTCGTCCAAAGGTTGACAAGGCTGTAGAGTACGGAAACGCAGCATCGTTTTGGGTCGAGTATCCCTCAGGCTTGGTGGATGTATCTCGTTCTCGACATGTTGACAACGATGCGACACATGGACCTATCGCACCTCCAGCAGTGCTTCCCAGTCAATTAGATATCCCTGTCGATCGCGAGCGCATGATCAGAATTGACAAAACATCCAGTGCTATTGTGATTATTGACATGCAAAAGTACTCGCGCCAAGCTCATTTCCAATTCTCTTATCCTAACGATTACCGCTAGTTTTTTCCTCCATCCATCCTTACGGGACCACCCTACAGGGCTCGAATGTGTAAACCCCCTTCTCAAGGTCCTTCCAGCTCTTCGATCGCAAGGTGTCAAGATTCTTTGGGTGTAAGACGAACACGCATCCGATGAATGCACGTATCACTGATAACAATGATTAGGAATTGGGGGCTTACAGAGCATGAATTGGACACCATCCCTCCATCTCTTGCACGTGGCTTTAGAAAAAATGGAAGGGGCGGGTTTGGCTCCCAGCTCCCCGAAAACTTTGGCAGATTATTGATGAGAGATGAATATAATTCGGAGCTTTACGGTTCCCTTCAAGAGGAGTATCTCGAGGGTAAGGAGGCCGGAACCGATGTTTGGATTCATAAAAACAGGTCGATATTCGGTATATATTTTGTCTTGTTATCACCTGACTAAACGTGTTCAAATTCACAAGGATGAGTGGGCTGTGGGGTTACCAAAGTGGTCTAGATCTCTATCTTCAGGAGAATGGGATAAACACGCTGTTTTTTGCAGGTGTCAATGCAGATCAGGTAGTGTTCAAGTTTATGCGACACCCTAAAGCCATCTGAAGAATCTGTAGTGCGTGTTAGGGACGCTGGTCGATGCGTATTTTAGAGGGTACGATTGTGTAGTAGTGCAGGATACTATTGCAACCACGTCTCCGACGGGTGGGTTGGAGAATGTTATTTACAACGCTGGAAATGTGAGTACCGAATAGCATATCAGTCCAGCAACCCCTCAACGTTATCCGCAGTCATATGGTTTCGTTACTGACACGGGAAGAATCATCAACGCAGTATATTCATGAAAAGTCGTACCGTAAGGCAGCCATGTGTTGGGGAGTAGTGGCGAAGAAACCAGGCAGATACCATCATAAGGAGCATTGTTACAGATCGACTTTGTTTTGGCTTCGTACAATCATAATGGTTGTGATTGCCGTACGATCGCACTTGCAGTCTGGCTGGCAGTGCTGGTGCATGACCTTATTGCCCGAGAACCTTGATAGTCCTTGAGTTTCTTATCTTGGGGTACTGGTCTAAAGACTATTCACTGGAGACCTCATTTTGGATCGGCGTGTTGGGAGAGTTTATACCGAGGGAAGAAACGGAAGGATACGATCTACCTCTTTTGACGTTTACTGTCGCCGCGGTGCAGGTGCGAGCTGGATTCAGATCGATAACGATTGAATTCAGGAATTGCGATGTTTAGGCTACTGGGGTGATGGTTTCTATGTACACGAGGCTACTATCAGCTGACGCGTGTTCCATATCTAACATGATGTTACACAAAAACTGACTCGGAGGTTATGCAGTGCAGGTGGAGGCTCCCGAGTTGCTGGTGAAGGTGAGCTTGCTGTGAATTCGAATTTCATTTACATGAATTCATGTTTTAGCCTGTGACTGTTCAGATCCTCGGTGATACGATACCATTCAGGGTTTTGTCGCTGCCAATGACTCTCATTCGGACAATCAAGAACCATATTATTGGGAGTCCAGTCTCTATCCAGGAACCTGCAAGGTCAGTTCATCGCCGACTGAGATAGTTTACTTATGCAATTACTCATGCGCCCTATAGAACAATGTTAATATTTCGATTTTCTACTCCACCCATACCGGAGGTGGGCAGCTGCCTATGACGAGTCTATTTCGGAAGAAGCTATAACTATATGTGCACCTGGTTACCCAACTATAGCAAATTGCAGATCTATCCTATATACGCATCTTTCTCTGTGGATACTTACCTTCGTGAACGGTACGTTGCACATCGGGCCTACACACGCCACGAAATTGAAGGGTGCTAAACCGCAAAGGAAATTTAATAACGGATTCCTCCTGTTGTTCGAGAAGGCTTAGCCTTGGGAGTGATAGAGGGTACCCCCTATGTTGTGCTCCGAGGGCTAGTCAATCTTAGCAGTATTCCGAACTTCCCTCTGAACGTATCAAGAGACTAATTGTGCATGTGTTACTGGGAAGCATTCGGTTCGTGATGCCCTTCAGCATTTCGTGTAATCTGCCAATACGATTGTTTTTCAGTATCGCATCGCAGCTTCCGTACCTTCGTGCCTTATCACAGAGACACGTAGTCTTCGCTGGCCCTTAACGAAGCTGGCAAGACGGTTCCTCAAGTCCAAGCTCGACTTTCGGTGGTCAGACCGAGTGCTCAGCGCTCAGCGCTCAACCACGATGCATATGCAATCATGATGCGTATTTGGTACGTGTAAATCCATAAAGATGGTTTTCAAATCTGTCTAGTCGACTCGGATTGTTCGGCTCCCAGTATACCCGAAGTTCATTGCATTCCGGGGCTTCACGAAAGCTCTTCTTGCTGTACGATTTTCAGACCTGAGAGTTCCAATAGTAGAGCTCCTTACGCACGGATATTATTAACTGATGAACTTCTATCTGAATGGTGCCATTACCTCTCCATCATTTCCAATTGCCTGTCCTTCAGTTACGGGATTCAGGACTCCTTCTTTTTTCTCCAGGATTTATCCAGGCTGAGGTAAGTGTCACGGTACTACGTTGTTGTACTAGCGGACTGATATCCAGTCAAAGACCGTGACTCAGTCTCTTGACACTTGGGATAGTTTGAAAATCGGAATAAAACAATTGCTGCTTTGATTTCCCATTTTTAGCTCGCCATCGCGATCCACATAGCGCGTCATATTGCAAAAGCCATTTGGCAAGATAGGCCATATATTCACACAAACTTGTTGCACCAACGGCTGTTTCCTCGCTCCGCAGCTAGACTTCTGGTATCTCCAAAGCTGGGGACAAAGTTTGATTCTTCGTTATGGGTTACTTTTCGGTTCTAGTGCCTGTCGCTTCACGGCCCAGCATATCGAATGGTAACATCGCCATTGAAGCATGAGGAGAGGGCAATATATCACAACGCGTTTATGCGTGGTATAAGTCCGCGGAGACAGGAGCTCAAACATGGAAAACCCTCGGTAGCTTTCCCAGCGTTGGTCCCTTGTGTTCCCTGGACCGATCTGAAGGAGCTTTATGACTTGTCAAGTCGCTGTTCGCAGTCGCACTCCGACGTATGCGATAAATGAACAGGTGACCAGCATCTACATAATCCCAAGGCCGAAAGTGGACAAGTACGCTGAGCGCCGTGAACAGATAGTCAGCCACAACTTGAAATGTCGACAGATGATCCGTCTCAGACATCTTTATTCGTATCTCAGACGGACTGTAACTAGCTGTGGCCTTCTTCTGAAAAGAGGTTGAGATCTGAATTCTATCTTGAAGAGGGAGACTCATGCTGGAAAATGAATGCCAGGGCCAGAAACGAGGAGGCACTGGGTCGGGCTCCTGATCGTGATTACTCGATATGGCATACTTGTGCTATCTCCCGGAAGAAGCCGATGCGGACCGGTTCAGCGAATTTTCAGCTGGATACCACAGTTTAGAGTCTTGTCTCTTGCCATTAACCTATTCTGTGTTCCATGCGTCTGGCTTTTATACTCTGAATACAAGCGAAGAAACCAATCATGCCTCCCGCTCAGGAAGATCAGGATAAACCATCAACGTCAATTCTCAAGGAGAGACGGTTCAAGCTGAGCAGGTCAGTCACTTGTCGCTCCAGCTCCTGACATCAACGTCTTTCTCATACGCAATACATAACGTTTCAGGGCTTGTGATCGATGTCGGTGAGCACTGTCTATCAATTGGTCAAGGGTGCAACGACTGATGCAGGCGCTATCTGCAGCCGAAGACGTATTAAATGCGACGAAGGCCATCCATGTCAAGCTTGCCTCACCGCAAACTCTGCCTGTACGTTCGAAGAACCAGGAAAACGGAGTCACCCACACAAATCAAAGTACAGTCACTTTCATGTTGCTGACATGTCTCCTTTCTAACTTTTTGTTGTTGATAGACGCACTGCCACCTTGGAAGACAGAATGCACCAATTGGAGACACTAATTCAGGCAATTCCTCCTGCTGTTTTTGCAGCCGGAGGAGGTGTGCCTGGAATGAGCACTACCCCTCAACTTACTGCAGAGAGTAGTCTCGCGAGTCCTTTGGCTTCCTTTGCATCAGCAAACCATACTTTTCCAGCCGGCGTACCGCCGCCATCATTACATGTATTTCCCCTTACAAACCCGTCAACCCACTTTACCACTCAAACTCGTAACACAATATCAAGGCAGCAGAGTCCGAATACTGCTTTTCATGCGATGCTAGGCCAACATTCCCAACATAATCAAACCTCCTCAGTTGATCAACTTCCTGAGGATTCCTCACGGGCTCCAATGTCGGCATCGTATTTGTATTTTGATGACGAGGGATATACTCGCTGGCAAGGGGAGACATCTGGTTTACCACTTCTCGATCTCTTACTGGAACATCATACTCCGGTAAAGTCTGAAACCGAAAAAAGCTCACCGGACCCCTCATGGTCAACGAAACCTGAAAAATCATCCAATGCTGCCTGGTTTCCAAACCGAACGCCAAGGCGGGCAGATGTGAATCCCGAAACATTATGGCGTCTCATTACCTCTTATATTGTACCGGAACTTATGGATAGGTAATTTTTCATACTTCTATATATATAAATGATCTCCGCTGACGTGGTTTGAAGTCTCGTTCAGTGCTATCTTTGTACATCATATTACATTCTTCCCTTCCTTCATGTTCCATCGTTTTTGGCAGTACGTATTTGTTCCTATCGTTGCGACGTCGAACTGATATGAATAATCTATGCTTTATAGGACTACGGGAATCCCAGAAAGTGGGGGGAGCCTGGATTCGCGGCCTTTATTGTCAGCATCTGTTGCCTTGCCTCGCGACATATAGATGATCCCCGGGTTCGCGCTGATCCAAACGAAGGTATATCCGCTGGTACTCAGTGGTTCGAGCTCTTTGGACGTTTAAGGACTCTTCCCATCGCGGACCGCCCCACAGTGTACACAATCCAGGCTGACCTTATTGCTGCCGTGTATGCAGTTGGACTAGGTAAACTTTCGAAAGCCGCCGCTCTCCTATCGGAGGCTATCACTGTGTCGGTAGATGCCGGTCTGCATCGCTCAGCCGATACCTACGATCTATTTGATCCCATCGAGGACGAAGTCCGCAAGCGCACTTTCTGGTGTGTCTACATGTGGGATAAACAACTTTCTGCGCACTTTGGAAGGCCGCCTATGATCCGGTTGAAGGACTGTGATATCGGTGAACCAACTATTGTAGACGACGAATTTATCTCGCACGACGGGATGGCTTCCCAACCTCCAGGATCAGAGAGTCGCATGAGCGCGTTCGTTTCTGCCTTGCGCATCATGGTAGTGATGGAATCAGTGTTGGATGCTCCTCCAACACGCCGATTTACTGACTCTTCTTCGTTCCTTCTCCGTGCGGCTGGTGTACTCTCTGGCCATATGCGACATAAAGATTTGTACGAAGAGGAAGGCTTGTTGGACGAAATTCGGCGTACAATACCTTCATATTGGGCCCACAGTTCTGAGACGCTTGCAAGCGATGATGTTATACGTGTCACTCAAGCAGTTCGACTACACTGCGCGGAACATTTTGCTAGGATGTTGATCCATCGGCATAGGTTCTCGAAGTTTGTTGCAGAAAGGGCGTACAATATAGCTGCAGAAGACGAACTCACCGAAATAGAACGAGAAGCAATGACCTCTGCTCATGCATCTGCGCTTGAAATCATTTCCTCCCATATGCAAGTAGCAGCCAAGGGCTTGATGACATATTGTCAGTGTTTGCTGAAACACTTTGTTGTGATTTATTTCTAAATTCATCACCTACAGATGGAGTGCATGTGATACATCAACTAACACAGGCTGGACGAACTTTGGTTGCTATCCTGATAAATTGCAAAAGCGAAAAGCTGCAACGTTTGATTCAACCAGCCTTGGAAGCTCTACGTTCTTGCGTCGGCCTCTTGCGTCGTTTCAGTGGGCGTTACATATGTGGTCTTCGTTCCGGGGACCTTATGGAAGAATTCTGTCGACGTACGTCCAGTTGGCGTTTTACTTGCCTTCTATGCTAATATCTGGAGTTTAGTTACTCAAATTCCTCTTGAACCCGCCCGGCAAGAAAGCCCAGACCAGCAGAATACTCGACCTCCTTGGATAAGACCTGTGCGCAAAAAGACGCCTTCTGCAGCTCGAGGTAGCGATACTGCATCCCAACATAGCAGTCCAGAAAGCTTCTCCCCGTCGGAATTCTTTGTTGACTCCATAGCTAGCCCATCCAACAGCGTTGGAGGTGCTGTCTTTTCGTCGAACAACAATCTCACGTCGTCGCATTCCTCGAGTGGGAGCCAGCACTATTCTATAAATGGTCGCCGACTATCTGGACCCGTATCCTCGTTCTTGGATACCTCGAATAACATGGATATAGATCCAGGGATGTATATGTCGCCAGTTGAAGTGATGGCCATGTTCAATGATGGAGGGGTGGATGTGGCATCGCTGTTCTCTCCTGATTTCAACAATCAGTCATCAAATTCCAACGAGTCGCTGTATGGAGGCGGAAATAACGGGGCAGCGGGTCTTGTTACGACTCCCTGAAGCTTGAAGGATGGATGTTCTTGTTTAAAATGAGGGTGGATTGCTGATCGATTGTGTTATTGCCTTCACTACTTGTACGGCCAACTGCAGAGATTCGCAGGCCTTTCTTTTGTTGTATCTTGTTGTCAATGTATGCTTGAATTTTGATTGTTTTGTATCATGAACTGGAGATCGAAGTTGAAATGTAGCTTGGAGGACGTATGCTTGAATCTTGATTGTTTCGTACCATGAACTGGAGATGATTGAAGCTGCAATGTAGCTTGCAGGGCATCTCTGCAAGCCTCGAGGCACGTAGTCACGGGATCAATAAGGCTATAGCCGCAAAGTTGTATTCTATGATTTCTGATGAGGCTTTATTGCAGATTTCCACTGCCCAGTCTCCCTCTCAAACGCCTTGGATAACTATTGTCACTCTTTACTTCCCCACTCTCATTTACTTGTGTACCATAGCGATAAGGTTGGATAATACCCGGAATATTTATCGGAAGGCGCGTTCTTTTGGATAGCAGGGAATGGTTGGTATATATCTACTTTCAAGCATCATCACACTTTCCACGCTCCCCGCCGTCGTGTCCTCGATATCTATTGAGCATGGACCATCAAGCCCGTCCCTCTCCACGGGAAAACACACGCAGGGCGTGCATCTCCCTATATATCGCAGAGAACGTACCAGCCCCCGGAAACGAAGCGGTCAGACGGGCATAGCAGGACTTGGAGACTACTTGGATGTGTGAGTTTTGTATTATTGACCGATGCTTAGCACACCCTCATGCTTTGTATTTTCTCTCTGCATAGGTCGTATAATGTTTTGATGCAAGTAGGGGACACACAAACACCTGTTGTATTAGGTATGTGCTACTACGATATAAGTGTCTGTGGCCTAGAAATTAAGATACTCTGTGTAAGACACTGGTTCCTCAGACCTGTGGATTCTTTCTTCTGCTTCTGGCGCGAATGGTTCTTCAAGTGTGCCGCTTTACGACCCTTCTACATTTCAGCCCTCCGATCTGGAAGCACGACTTGAATATGGCGACTCCCTTACTGGCACTCACGCTTTTGGTCCAATCGGGTTTGACTCTGTATCTCTCGCTGGTATCACGCTGTCGGATCAGTATTTTTCGGCTATTAATGATACAAACACGACTGTGCTGCAAACAGGATCAGCAGGCATATTCGGGCTGGGATTTCCAATAAATAGGTTAGTTCTATACGACTGAATTGTTCCTTGAAATACCTTTAAGTTTGCGTGAGACTAACCACCATCCATTTTAGTGTGATTTGGGGTGAGGTCTTTATATCTCAACAAAATTCCTCTTTCACGTCGTCCAAGCGGGACAATCTGCATGACACCATACCTACAAAATCCCATGATTTTGAGATTCGTTTCTTCCCAAAAAATGATTTAAGCCATTTTGTTGGCTCTTCATCTTCCGTACCTCAAATATCTTCCCGCCAATCATCCACTTCACCTTCAGGAACATCTGCTATTTTCGCATCATATTCTAGCATCGGGCCTTTCATATCGCGACTTGTTGTGCAAGGCTTACTTGCCTTACCCATGTTCACTGTTACCCTCCAGCGAGACGCCATTCAAATTGGTGGTAACCAAGGCATGCTTTCTCTCGGTGAACTCCCCGAAAGTGTAAACAACGACAGTTTGACCTGGGTACCTGTTCGTGGGTACACCCCTGAAGAAGGTGGCCTGAATCCTCCAGCGGATGCTCCAAACGAGGTATGTAAAATGATCAAATAGCGATGAACTCACCGATATGTAATTTGTTTTAATCACTGTCCCAAACAAGGTGTATCCAATTGCATGGGAGATTCCAGTCGATGACGTATATTTTGATGGCGAGAGACTTGCTAGGTCGCAGCTCTCTTCGCCCAACATATCTTTGTCGGCCTTGCTTGACACCGTCAGTTGTCATTCACGTACCGTTGCTAATATGATTAATATATTTTTCTACTTCCAGGGCAACTCCCTCATTCGTGGACCTCCCGATGTCATATCATACATTCTCAATACTGCATTAGGAGGCTCTCCCTTCCCTTGCTCGGAGCAACATACGCTTGCTTTCCAGATCGGCGGGCAAATGTTTCCTGTTGATCCGCGTGACTTCGTTAGTCAAACACAGTCTGAAAGCCTTGAAGACTGCGTCGCGAATATTACACCTACGGATGTGCCCGTTATTGGTTCAGGATACTTGTACAGTTGGAGCCTAGGGGATCCATTTTTGAAAAGGTGCGTGGGTTTGCTCGACGTGTGGTTCCACCACTCCTTTCTTGCCTTGGCGATGGAATAAAGAGTGCTGTGAGGGATATTTATACGGTGGTTTTTTGGTGGGTGGTGTTAGAGCGGAATAACGTTTGGTCTTTCGGAGGGTCAGGTTGTGCCCGACGCGGACTTAGACTTCCATTTCTCTCTGCGTCATGCGGAGCGGAGGGAACTCTCAATCCGTTTGTTAGGCTACGAGTTCCATTTGCAGTTCTCGAAACTCAAGTTGCCGTCGGTCAACAGGCGATGACATTTTCCTTCGGATATGATTCGTCTTCGCGGTGACACGTCAAATCTAAGGGACAGATTCTCGTCGCCGTTATCGTTTTCGACGTCGCTAGTGATCGCGAAGACTCGAAGTTTAAAAGTTTATTTCGTGCCCTTCTTTACCCTTCTTTCTTTCACCATGTCTCTTTTTCTCGTACTGACAAATTATATTATGTCTACGCATACAGCGTTCTTGCAGCATTTTACTATGGTAATCTTGGAATGCCTTCACAAGATCCAGCGCGCATCGGGTTGCTTTCAACTGTTCCGGACAACGCAGCTGATGAACTTGCATCGGCCGTCAGCGATGTTATTCCTACCACCGTCATCGCTGGAGCAACGAGCGTTTACAATAGCTTACCTGGTGAGTAACGATATTGAATCATTTCGCCAACATTTTCCAGGAACGATCTGACTCTGTTATACAGTAACATCGAATGTGGCACCCTCCCGCATCATCTCTGCGCTCAGCACAGGCGTGGGTGGCGTCCCACTCGCGCCCACGTCCATATCTGGGTCGCTGTCTGGCGGCAAAAAAGTGAACGACGTGCGAGAAGCGTTACGTGTGAATGCGTGGACCGTGGGTTTGGGTGTGAGCCTTTGGATTCTATGCCGACTGGTGGGGTAGAAGATGTGGGAGGATTTTTTCTTCGCGGTATGTGCTTTTGTACGAGGACACAGATTCTGAACTCATGAGTTGAAGTCGGTAGTTGTACTGCATTCCTGTAATTCTCGTTCCTGTGCAGCCATGTTGCACGTATCTGTATCTCCTGGTGGAACTCGCCGATTGCAAAATTTGTTTCTGTGCGACAGTAGAGATTTTTGAACCATTATTTTTATTTATTCTAACTTCATAAAGTCGGTACTTGTGTGGCTTGGGATATTTATGTTGTTTTGTGAATGTCAATGTGGGACTGGCGTGGCGGGGAACACCACCGCATCTTCAAGCTGAACTGATATGCAACAGATTCGGATACAAGATAAAATGATACACTAAAACAACAACAGCGGCTAGCTAGATCATACAGCGCACATAAAATGGCCGCTTGCTACTAAAACAACTAAGAGAAGAAGTAAATACACTCCCATCTCCCACCTCAGACATTTAGACGAAGTCCCATCATCGTTCTAGATCGTATGTGGTATCATCCGAGCAATTGTTGGGAATCCACGTCTCTCTCCCTCCTATCTTACATCCACCTCCAACTCACCCTCACAGGCCTCACAAGTCACCCCTTGTGTAGTCTACCGCTCTCTTCAGTTGTTCGAGAGTGAGGAAGATCAAAATCGTAGTTGGCTGGAGCCTCGTCCAAGCTGGAAGCCAGCCTTTGAACATGAACATGGCGCCTTCGTTCGCCAGGGATGATTTGATTACACCTAGTGTGGACTGTTATGGGATCAAAGAAGGAAATTTAGTATATGCAATGGTTTGTCTGAACTACACGTACGCTTGATCCTGGTCCGGATGCATTCATGATACGGCTCTGTGAAATATATTAGTAAGAATTACAACTCTTGACAAACTTGAGCCTTTCAGCTCATAAATGAAGTTAGAAATTTCGCGCGACAGGCTGTTGCGCCAACCACACGAGCAAACGAGAAGATAGCCAAAGACAATCTGAATTGTCGAAAACGATAGATGATACACACCTTGAGTACGTCGGCGGGCGAACAGACTGTGGTCGCCACCGTGCCCTGAGAAGAAGAAAACATACATTATCAGCCTGAATTTGAACAAGGGCATGTACATTTAAAAGGCAACGCACTGCAGCAAAGCTCGCAGTGAAATGGCAAGCAATGTTATCGTTGAAATATTTCGTTTTGAGCAATTCTGCTTTAAAGAAATCATATCTGGGGGAAAATGTGAGTTAGCACACGAGAATAATGTAACTGGCTAGAATGTAGATATCGATATTACTCACGAAGCCAGCTGACTCGAGTTCATTAGAATGGACCTAAACACATTCGGCCCCACACCGCGAACGAGAGACGAGGCGCCTTCTTCACGTACCATCTGTGTATGCAAATATAGGTAAGTTTCATGTCAAATAGAATTTGCGTGGAATAATAAAACTCGAAGAAAGCATTCGATTTTCGATTTACATAAAGCATGAAAGAACGAAAAGGCGGCGCGCGACAAGTGACAAGATTGCGCAGATGTCAAGAAACGCCATAAGATGCCCTTGTCAACCATCCTCCATCGCGGAGTTGAAAACACGCGTAAAGCTTCTCTTACGAAGTATTATCGCGTCGTTCCGCCACAACGAGATCAAAGTTAGGATCCTGTGAAAAGGATGCAACTTTCATTTGGCTATATGCGCGTGTTGGGGGTCCATTTGAAACCCAATACACGCCTCGTGTGCATTATGCTACCGCGACCACGATCCCGTTGCCTGGTCCACGGCTGGCAACGAGAAGGAAGCATTGGAATTATCTATCACGAATCGCGCTCCATGCAACATGAGCGATACGTTAAGGCTGCATGTAGTCAATTTCACCACACACACACAGCAATGCCGAAACAAGGGAGAAAACAAGTTTGTTCGTTTATAAAATGCCACTCACCCTGAACAACGCGTCGAAACAGTGCTTATAATTGAAGCGCTTTTCTGGTGGTTTCGCAAAGTCACCTTGAAGGCGGACCTAAATATGCAGAAAAAAACATTCTACTATCAGGAAGGAACGGCGTAGAGATACCGGAAGCACCAACCATGACGACCTCTGATTATATGCATGGTTGATTAACGGAGATATGTGAGATATACTATATGATAGCAACTGACCTCCTGGATTGCCAACGATACCTGCGATCGCACCAGCTGTTGATGATTGTTGTAAGCGTGACCAACAGAGGGAATGAAGTATATACATACCCATCATACCGGCACCAGCCAACAAATATGGTGGTGAGTTTGGTCCAGCACCCAATATCTTCTTACTCTCGTCATAGGCCCAGAAGCGACAAAGCGAGTAGCTCATTTGTCTCATCCAGGTACCTGATATTCCATCGTATAAGCCTCGCATACCTGCAGTGGCGACGGTTTTGCGAATGGAAGCAATCATGCGCTTGTCGCCAGATGCTTGCAAGCGAACCTTTGTGAGATCAAGTGGGTGAGTAATGCTTGCTGCGATTGTGGCAGCTAGACCACCGAGCCAGAATGGATAAGGCTGTTTTTTCTTTGGAGATGGTGGTGTCTGGGTATCTACTGGGGGTGTTGGGGACGACATCGTTGCTGGGGATGAGGAGGAATACGATGGCGGGAGTGAGAGAGTGAAATGGGTGTGTGTGGAGGCGGGAAGGATAGGAGGGCAGATGCGGTCCGGAAGGAATGACTGGATTACATTTGGATAACATTTGGACTAGTATTTCAATAATTAGGAGCATTGGATATATACAGCACCATATTACTATAGTTGTGGTCAGAAGACAGGGGGCGAGGTGTGACAAACCAGAACTGCTGTGACGTGGGGTGGCAGTCACGCAGGATCTCAGATCCAGTAGTGAAAATCTCATACTTGCACCTCTCTCACGGCAGTGTTCCAGATCTTATACATGTACTTACACCGGCTGTGTTCTCTGTCTGGCACTCACCCTCAAGGAACACAAGCAGATATGGACAACATAACGTGGCTTACACGGGTAAAAACGGATAATCCATCACTTCTCATGTCGTGTGACCTCCTTCATATCATGGTTTCCTGCATTTTTCGATGATTCTCCCAGCAGACGTCTAGTTTATCTGCTGAACTTCATCCCCATCTTCGTCTCTTCCGCGTTCCGGGTATTCCCGTCCAAAAATATCTATAATATGCATTCCATCCACCCCTTACGGGAAAGCGGGCGGCCGCAGCGCGTGCGACGTGCGACGTGCACAGTCACAGAGCTTGAGGAAACCTTCATGGAGACATATATCCGTCTTACAGCATGCGCAATAGCTATAGTGCGTGTAATAACTGTGTCCGGTATAATTTTACAATTGCATACGTGTTTATCTAACTTACATTCAGATTGCCATCCTCGTTTTCGTGACTTCCAGGAACAGGAACAGCGAGCTACACCTCGTTTGAACGGCAAATTGTCCTACCAAACATACTGGCAAGCGTGGTTATCATCAACAGTAATCATCGTTTAAGTTTCTCGCGCTGACGGCGGCGCCCTTGCTTTCTAAGGGCCAGTGCTGCCCTTCATTCTCAGGTAATGCTTGTTCGCATTGAGTTTTTAAATTGATCTAAAAAATACAATCGTCGATACAGTTCATTCACAGGCATCTTTAGCTTCCATGGTTTTCGCGGAATGGCGTATCCTTGGTCAAGTTTCCTACTTTTCACTTATTTTATGTGACTTAACCGTACCCGCTAGCAATTACTGGCTTCGCTATTTTGCCATGTGAGTCACTCAGTTCAACATCGTACCATTAACAACATTGTAGCTATCTGATGCGCAAGACTTCCATGGCATCGCGCGACTTTTACACAGTCTGGGAGTTATTTAGGAAAAAGGTGAATGGTAATATCCCTATAAGCTGCAGATCTCAAACTGGTATCACGATAATGCAACAGAATTACGAATTACTATCATTTTTCTGTATCGTTCACATCATGGCCTAATCTTGTGTCATGGTGTTTTCACCTTTGTACCGTGACATCCCACAGAAGGAGGATGTCATTAGATGGCGATAAACTGACTATGGGAGGTATGTCGAGGATAGGTTAAATGACTTCTCAGAGTGTGAATTTCTTCCTACTGAGGACGTGATCATGGAATTTCAATTGGCTCGGACACCATCTCATTGAACCTCGCGTCACACCCACATGTGCTCTCAGTCGTGAAGATATCTGATTCGCCTACGCGTACGCAGTTTCACAGGCAGTCTGGCTCTTCCTCTAGTCTGATCGGCCTAGCTATAGCCTCGTGAGCGCTCGGAATAGCTAGATGAGAATGCTGTGTATGCTGCCTTAATTGATACAGATATTAGCTAGCATGATGAAACACGTTCTGCCGTTTATGTATATGCCCATTCAGTTTGAGGGATTTGCTATAGATAGATGTAACACAACATCTTTCGGCCCTTGCAGCTCGAGCTGGGTATGTGGTTTCTATTTTATTTCATTGGATCCTGCACCGCTGGTGTTCATACCATTCTTACAGGTGTCGTATCTATGTAGATAAGAATGTGCAACATCCTCGTGCCCCTAAACCGGTCTTGCTATCGACACAATTGACGGTAGGCCAATGGGAACCACATGACGACAAGGTCAAAATCTTCAGTCAAAGCTTCATTTCCCTTAGTTTAGACTTGCAGTGCGACCGGAAACATTGGAGATCTAGTCTGGCGAGATACGTGTCTAACGTTGAGTATAAACCCCGGATTGCCCCATATGACAATGAATTGAAGCGGACGAGCAAATCATCAGTGTACGCTTGAACTTGAAGACTGAAAGGGGCTCCCGGATCGGCACCTCATAGATCAATGTGGGCCACTCCTTCGTGGTATCAGTTTCAAGATTGCACTGCATGATTAAGACTATTGCACACGCACTTGATCTCAGCTTGTCATAGAAGGAGACATTTGTCATGTAGTCACAAAAGGCAAGACAAAAAGACAGATTCGCCACGTTATTAGCTCTTCCAGGGGTGCCACTGTCTGGTCGTGGCCTTGCGGTACATTTGGCCATGGATCTTCCAATAGTTTTTTTTTGGCATTTCAAAGTCTCTCCTCAGGGTTCCACTTCAGTATCTTTCTGACAAACTTTAGGAACTGCACCTTGTCGTTCCCTTCCATATTTCGCTCGAGGTCCTTGAGACTCAAGTTTGGGATCTCAGCGACCCCTTTCCAATTACCTGTGAGTAATAGATCATTCATGTTACAAATATATCAGCAGACGGAACCGATGCTTACCATCCTCCTTGTCATACCATTGTCACAGCTGATCAGATCGACTTTGCTGCAGCAAGTCTTTGGGAGGGGGACCAAGCAACGCGATCATATAGGCAAGACGGTAGACATTGTCTTCCTTGTTCTCAGCTCCGCCTGTAGTTTTGAATAGGTTGCCATGCTCGAACAAATCCCAAGTCTACAGCATATGCACTGGTCAGATCCCTGTCAGTGGCCAAATTGGGGTTTCTTACTAGGACTGCGACATTCCAAATATCCACCTTCTCATCCAAAGGGATGTTCAAGATCACTTCGGAGGCACGGTATTGATAGGGCTGAATATCGTCTGTATGACTACCTTTTTGGAAACGAGCCTCACCGAGATCGCAGAGCACCGGTCGGCCGTACTGATATATACGGGGAACTAGCCGTTGGGATACATGGACCATCAACTTTGTGTGGACTTGGAGAATCGATTCCTCGACTCCCAAAATTTCCCCAAGTCCCCCCGAGCAGATTCATCATTCAGGCGGAGTAAATTTTTCTTTCTTTTAAATATCTACAAGTACATCAAATGTGAAATATGAAAAGAAATCGAAGTGAAACATAGCATGGCTTACCCGTATGTATTACCTTGGCCTCAGTATGCAGAAAGGAGTATATGCTTTGGGACTGATTTCAACAGATCAACTGGTAAGGACTTGGTGGGAATCATCTTCCGGTATTCTCATAGAGTGATTGATGGCCAAGGGTATAGAGATAACCGCCTGATATTGTCCATTATTATTGGTAATTTCGAACGCTCCTAGCATCCGTTGAACCAAACACACATCATGGTGGCTCGACTGGATCGCTTTCTCCCTCGCGAGCGCGTCACAAGTAGCAATTTCAAGAGCCACACGCTGATTATCTCTACCATACGCTGAGTGGAAACGGCAAAAGACAACGTACATTAGGTCATGACATAACCATACGGTATCATATGCTCCATAACCCAGCTTTCCAACAACTTGATACTTTGATTTGAAGACCTGGCCTATCTGCACTGAGTAGAACGCTTCCGAGTCAGGTTTATGGTCAACTTCCATACGTGGCAAGTGGTTATTTTCGGAAGATACCGAAGCAGACCACTATGGGTCAAAACTCTGGTCTATCAGTATGAACTTAGCTGTACTACTAGTAAGTAATGGTCCCCGAGGACCATTGTCAAATCCAACTAAAATGGTTGAAACATTATCAAGTACGTTTAAAATCAGGGAAGTAGTATAGGACTCGCAGGTTTGTCCATAGATCCGCCAAGTGCACTAATGCATCTCAAAAGTAGCAGATTGGCCACCAAAGACAGAAGATTCGTTGCTTGGTAGATATCTTCGAGAGAATCATGCGGTGTAGTCCGTCCAGGGCCCTCCTACATAAAATCAGTTCATGACTCTTCATGCAACATTGCCCTCCCTCCCTCGATCTTCAAATCTACGCGTAGGCCGTCTATACATATAGGCGCTTTCAAATCCAGATATGGATCAGTACACCATCTCTTCAACCAGTTTCCCTGACGTTCCTGAAGATGTCCTGCAGTATATCTTCAGTCTTTGTGATTTTCCGGACGTAATTCGCTTTGGTATGGTAAGAGCTCAGTATCACAATCAGATGGTCTCATCTCATTCAATGAACGCCTAAGACGTGCAAAGCACTAGAAAAAATTATTCGAGAATCTCCAATACTCAAATATCATATCGAGCTGGGTGCTCAGCGCATGATCTCCCTTCCTGACGTGATCGTGTCTGATACTACTATTTCTCAGCGCTTGGAGCTGTTGAAGGAGGTTGGTCTTGATTGGAGTCGCTTTACCATGGCCGGCTCTTCTTCCAGACATATCGGCCTAACTACAGACAGGATGCCTTGTATATCTATTGCTGGTGACCTCTTGAGCATTTAGAATAGCCAAGTGGGGATGTTGTGGATGCTGCCTCCGATTGATGCAGATACCAGACTGATGGAAGTTACACGTTCTGCCATTTATGTCATGCCCATTCGGATTGAGGGAGTTGCTATAGACGTAACGCAAAATCTTTCGGCCCTTGTAGCTCGAGCTCCTCCTGGGTATGTGATTTCTATTATATTTCCTTAGATCCTGCACCGCTAGTGTTCTTACCATTCATTACTACAGATATCATATCTATCTCAGAACAGTGGATAAGAACGTGCAGCATCCTCTTGCCCCTGAACCGGTCTTGCTGCCGACACAGCTGCCGACAGGCCAATGGGAACCGTATGACGTCAAGGTCAAAATCTTAGGCCAGAGCCTTGTTTTCCTTGGTCTAGACTTGCAGCGCGAAAACTCCATTGTAGGAGAAACGTTGCAGATCTGGAACTGGCAAGAGGCGGACAACGCTGAACCAGTGGGTCGTCTTCATATTCTATGTGGCCAGTCACGCTGAAATTGTTCAATCAGCAATGTGTCATTACAAAAGCAGAAGTCGATGACAATATCCTTGACTTCTGCTTTCTAGCTCACGATGCCTTGTTACTCCTGACTACCTCCGGGGTCCTTGAAGTGTACACCTTCAGTGAATTTGCGACACCCGTTTGCAAGGCTAGATATGCTTTGCCGAAAATACGACCAGGATTCAAGTGCTCACGTGGAGACGGCTTCATAATCTGCAACTTTCCCTGTGTAGCTACAGCCGCCACCAGACGAAGCGTTGACAGTAGTAAACTAATAGTGTTACCATTTTGCCCTAATCCCCAAGACCGAATCTGTGCCGTATCTTTCGGTTATGTCTTTTACATCGACATGCAGTCTCTCTTCACTTCGGGTGGAGTAGCTCCCACCTCTGGAAATGGTACCGAAACATCAGTACTTGCCTGGAGCGCTTGGGGTCCGCAGAACTCACGCTGTTTCCCAAACGACGGAGTTTACGACGTACATGGGAGCAGAGCGGTTGGAATATCTCGCATCGGTGGCAGGACTTATAGGTTGCGTATGCGCGAATTCAATCCATATGCAATCAGGCGCACTAGTGCCGTAGGAGACAACTACCAATGGCTCGTAACTGAACCTTCTCGCATACCTCCCGGCTGGGCATTTGCAGAGGAAGTGGTGACCTACTTGCCGTATCGCGAAGCTTTCTCGTACGAGTGGTTCGATGAGTTTGATTCTACGTTTCAAGTCAGTGTTGATGACTCCCGGCTTGTACTGGTTCAGGTTCGTAGAATTTCTGTCCTCGGTTCGCATGTGTTTGTTGACGAGTCAATTGGGATCAACAGAAGCTTGATGTCGCAAATAATATCAACATAAACTTCCAAACTCGTATCGTACTGTTCAAGTTCTGTTCAGCTAGAGACGCAAAAATATGATGTCGTAATCGGGAAAGCTTGAAGAGTTGCCAAGAGAAATATGTACCAGTGTCCGAGCTATGTGCAATTCGGTGTATCAATTTAGTGTTCTTAGCTGCAACCGTCTTAAAAGCACGTTACGGAATCATCTGAACTTGAACAATATAAGCTACCTCCACGACAATACCAGGAGCAATTTATGTTCTAAGATATTGCAATAGTGCACCAGCGACAACCACTGAAAATATAGATGACTTGCTTGTTGAAGGAATTTGTATTCCGCGGTATTAGATAAACAGAAGAAGAAATGAAACATAAATTGGCGTGAAGATAAACTGCAGTACATGCATGACGATGAGAGGAACTGAGGAGATGTACATTGGATAGTAGTATGCTCGATGCAGATGTCCTCGCAAGCGGACACAGCACGAGCAGGGAACTGGATATTACAGGCTTTGAATCTGTACGATAAGAAACTGCTTCTCGTCCTGTTCAAATGATCGTGAGAAATGCACTTCTATCAACGAAATAAATGGTCACTATGGAGTACTCACGCTAAATTGTTCGTCTGCATAAGAAAACAATGGAAAAAAAAAGCCATCACCGAGGGTAGGCGGTAAGTACAGAATATTTACTGACCTTCCTTGTCGTTGTGAAATCCTTTGAGAAAAACTAGTAGCTTGTCTTTATTCCGTCGGAGGATAGCCTCTATTTGAGGGGGTTTCTTCGGATTCGCCACGAAGACCTAATAAGAGGTAAAAGTAAGGTGCATTGGGCGAATCAATGGCATGTGCACATACCTTGAATACATGGAACGCCTCAAACTGGATGTTTTTACTCTTATCGCGCAGGAGGTTCATCATCATCTTCAGGTTCCCTTCGTTGGCGATGTACCGTGTCATCACATTGAAGTTTGCACGATCCAGAAGAATTTCTCCTAGTAGCTTGAGTGACTGCCTTTTCGTCACATAGTTGTTCGAGAGAATAAGTGTGGTGAATGAAGCAAAGAACTAGAAGAACGATATGTGAGCCGGAGAGCTTTGGCTGAGACAAAGGACTTGAGGTGGTTGACGTACTCTTTCGTAGTTCTTGTCAAGATAGTCGGCCACCATAGGCTTGTGCCGTGTCAGCGTCTCCTTCAGGTTCGCAAAAGCATCACAAGAGACACCGAAAGTCGTATTCTCGATATGATGTGGGAACATGTAAAACCTAGTGTCACATGGCACCACAAACACATGTTCGTCAGCCGGAATGAAAAGCAGAAAGACGGCTCAACTGTTCTGAATAAAGAAGGACCTTGCATAGTTGCTCGTGTCGAAGCATTTCCTTCAAGATCATACCTGTATTGAGCGCGATTTCCTCGTTCTCGTAACCAGCGAGCGCGGCGAAGATGATGTCGTGCTTTGCAGATATGTATTCTACAGTGGGCAATCGCGAGCCAATCTGCCGTCTGAGTAGGTTGTTAAATATCTGTACGACGTCTTTCCGAGATTCGAAATCAAATCGGGCGATGTTGAGGACTAGATGGTACAAAAGGTCTGTGTTGTATGTCTCCTGTGCAAGTTGAGCCACTAGCTCGGGTAAAGGATCTGCAAAGAATGATTTGTGAGTCTCGACGGTAATAAAAGTATAACTGTATGTTGCGCACCTCCGTCGCCGTACAAGATAGCCTTGATCTGCTGCAAATTCTTGGATACCTCTTCGCTTGCCTTGAGGGAAACCACGATAATAGATGTGATTGTACATCAACTTCTCCCAGTCGAATGTCTGAACCTCTGTGAAATTTCTCGCACCTTTCTCCTCGTTTCGGTCCCTGGAGGGCCAGATTCGAGCTTTGGTATCGTGTCTCGAAGGCCTCTTACGAGGTCTGGAGGTGTCCGCTGCTTTGTTTTGAAGAAGTTCATGGTATAAAGCCTGCTGTGGTTATGTATGAGTGCGTGCGCTGGCTGGATGTGCTCGATAAGGGTGAGACTGGAGGCCTGAGTGTACCAGCTCGGGGAGTGGTTCCTGCCACTGACAACTCAGGCAACGACCGCCAGCCACCCTCAGTTAAGCATGCCGTGATTGCCGTTTTCGGAAACTGAACCTGCATTCCATCAGAAACCGACTCACAATCATAGAATTCAGTACAGCTAGTCTATTCAAAAGTGACAGTTCAGTGGCAAGCTGTAGTAAACACTAGCTGTGCTGGCCAACGCCTTTTGTTTTAGCGTGACATCCACAACGTTCCGTATTCACCACCGGTCACATCAATGCTTTTCCTCTTTGATTTGACACCCAGCATGTGCCAAGAGATCTACAAGCAAGCAGACTGGGGAATATACAAAGTTAGACAAAGTTCTCATCATTGTCTGTGGGAATTTTTGCTCCATCTTTTCTGCCAAGGGAAGACCCTCAGTAGCACGATAAATCATCTATCATCAGTGAATGGATAGATAGATCTTCCATAAAGCTATGTAAAGTCTTTATCAACAGTATGATATTTGGGGTATGTATGATGTCAGAAAAATCCCATTTACCTTGTCAGGACTGTTGAAATCTGGCACAAGCATGGCACAGCCTGACTACCTTGTCAGAAAACAAAAGGAATGAATAAGGAATTATCAGAGTATATTAGACTGTATAAGTCAAGTTGTGATCTAGTTTAATACAGAAGACTAGATACTAATCAGCTAAAGGTCAATAGAAAACTAGCAAGATGATTCTCACCTCAGAGCTTGTTGTAAGGCTCTGAGGTGTTCCCTAACAACCAGGTCAGGTATATGTAAAAAAAATGGAAGTAAAATCATTGATGTGGTATATTGCCGCATGGGCCAATCCAACTACTAAACCTTCCTTTCTAGGTACAAGCCCTTCGTCAAAAAGCTTGCAAAAGTCATCACTCCAACACGCCCCCTCAAGCTGTATGAAGGCCCAGCGCTGCTGCAAAGTGTTTCACCTTCATGGATGGCAAAGCCTTAGTAAGTGTATCCGCAATCATGTTGTCCATCGGGCAATAGGTTATTTCAATTTTGCCTTCCTCAATTGCATGGTGAATGAAATGTAAGCATATATCAATATGTTTTGTCCTTGCATGGTATTGATTGTCACAAAAAAGGGTTGGGGTTGATATATCGTCTCTAAAAATCTCACTCATAAACATTCTGATCCATAGGAGTTCCTTTGTGGCGTGAGTTGCAGCCACATACTTGGCCTCCGTGGTTGACAGCCCAACTAATTGTTGCTGTTCCGAGAACCATGAGACAGTTCTGCCATCCAACATGATTGCATATCCTGAAATAGCACAGCAATTCTCATGCATACTGCCATCAGCATCGCAATAGCCGGTGTTACGATACACAATTTTTGGACCTTTAAATTTTATTCTCCCCTTTGACTTTCTTCTGTAGTTTTCACACCCTGTGCCATGCGGCACTTTCCATTTTGTTCAAACTCCACCTTCTCGCGCTGCACTGCCTTTTTCTTATTTTAGCTACAAGTATCTCACGCAGTAGAGCTGGTCACACGGGCTGTGCCCCACAACATCATCAGCCACTGCCTCCATCAACTGTACAGTACATATGTACAAACAAACCTGTAGTAGTATATATACCCCAATAGATCAAAGAGACACCTCAGCAAGTCCTTCTGTTGTTTACCCACAACTAACTTGGTCCTATCCTAAGGGGTAACCACTCCCTCTCACTTCCTCTATAGTGTGAGGCAACGATAAACTATAACAAAAACACTACCCGTCTCCTACTGCACTTGCAGGGAGTAAGAGGTACAATGAGTCTTGAAGATCGACATATGCTAGTGATAGTGAATATAGCAAGTAGAGGATAGGGGAGTAGACTCAGAGGTTTTGGTTGAGGAGTAAAGCGGATAATTCAAGTAATAGAAAGCTAAAGAACAATACATGAGTATGTAAGGTTTTTATAGCTAACTGTCTACCCCTCAGACCAGAAGAAGAATAAAAGGAAAGTAGTCTGAGGGGAAAATCAACCAATAAGAAAAAGGATAACTATTGTACGACTTTGAAGATTAATCAGCAGGTGGGAAAGTGTACTAATAATAAGTGTTGTCACGCGTGTTCAGGAACCGTATCCTCATGATGAGGTACGATCCTGATTAAAGCGTCTATTAGTATCTCCAGGCGGGGATGGGGCTTGGAGCTGGTTGGTGAGATACTTACCACCAGCTCTTTATCCATTGTGCTGGCTGGCTGGGAGCGATACCCAGTCTTTAATCTGCAATATAAAGTGGTAACAATGGTTGAGAAAGCCTGTGAGGGCTATGAGAAGTAGAATAGCAAACAATACCTCTAGCCCTAGAGCCAGAGGTGTAACGGGGAAAGCGTTCAAAAACCAGGACATAGAGAAAATAATAAATGGTCCTTACATATAGCTTTGTCTGAGTTGTGTGCCAGAGTATACAAACTCTTGGTTGTTACAGCCAGCAAGTTCTTTCCTTTCTGGTCCATAGCAGAGCCAGAGCTCAAATGTTCCCTTCAGGTACTTTACCACTCTTTTTGCTGCCTCCAAGTGCACTTTCCCTGGGTTTTCCACAAATCTCAAAAGTATGGCTACAGTATGTGCAATATCTAGGCAAGTAGCAATTGCTGCATACATCAGAGATCCCACAATCTCCCAGTAAGGTGCATCTCGCATATCAGCAAAGTTTTCAGGTGTTTTAGGGCTTTGATCTTTTGTTAGGTACATATTTGCAACCATCGGCATTGACAGAGGCTTTGTGTCCTCAAGACCAAAACATTGGATTATGGCATCAATATAGGAGCGTTGAGATAAATTAACAGTTTGGGTGAGTGTCTCTTTCTAGCATCCAATGTAACTTGCCAAGATTGCTAACTTTGAAAAGCTTGGATAGTTCCTTTTTCAAGGTCATCATATGTGCTACTGTTGGTGCAACAAGCGTCATGTCATCAACATGGACAGCTATGATGGTGAGCTCATTTCCATTCTGCCTGTAGAAAACGGCATAATCTGACCTGCATTGTTTTAGCCCTATTTTTTTTAGGTTTTGGCACAATATTTGGTACCAGTGGCGCCCTGCCTGTTTTAAGCCATACAGGGTTTTGTTAAGGCGAAGCACCTGCTTCTCTTGCCCTGGGGGTTGACACATAAAAATCACTTTGTCATTGTTGAGTTCACCATTTAGGTAAGCGCTCTTGACATCCATTTGATGCAGCTCCCAGTTTTGTCGTGCAGCCATGGCTAATATTACCCTTAATGATGGCATCTTTGCAACTGGTGCAAAAGTGTCAAAATAGTCAACACCCTCGACTTGGCTAAATCCTTGCGCCACAAGCCGAGCCTTGTACTTGTCAATGGAATCAGAGGCGGTTTTCTTTATTTTAAAGACCTATTGAATGCCTACAATGTTGGCAACTTTTGGCCTATCAACATAAGTCCATGTTCCTGCTGCTTTCAGCCTTTCCAGCCTTTCATTGATTGCATCTTTCCATTTATCCCAATCAGGATGCTTCTGAGCTTCTTCAATGGTTCTCAGTTCAATGTCATCAAGGTTGGCCATGTGCGCAGCCAAAGTCACATTTTGCGCCAATTCCCTCAAGGTTTGATTGTTTCTTTCATCCGCATGTCCCTCAAGATCTTTAGCATTTTCAAGGGGGTTTTGCATCCCTTTTGGTAAGACCTGGCCTTTGCTTGTGCCATCAACTGATCTTTCGCCTTGTAATAAGTTGCACATGTACTGTGCTGGTTGTTGGTGGTGAGTGCTTCGGCGGGGTACCATTGGAGGATGGAAAAGAGGAGCTTGTGCAGGATGAGGATCATTTTGGGGATCAGGTGGATGAGGACAAGGGTCATTTAGAGGTGCGTGGTTGAATGCCTCCGAATCAATATCAACAATTTGAGCATTTTTGACAGCTTGATTGTTTGTTTCCCTCTCCCCCTCAAGCTTGAAGGGGGTCTCATTTACTGGCACAAAAGCAACAGAGCATTCCACACTGATCGTTCATTTATCTGGCCAGTAGATTTGATGGCCTTTACTTTTGGCATCAAAACTCATCCATTGCCCAGTGCGCATACATGGGTCAAGTTTTGAGCCACCACTATAGTGCACCCACACCTGGCAGCCCCATTCCTTTAAGTTAGAGAGATCTGGTTTTATGCTATGGGCCACTTTGTGCGGTGTTGTTCCAGTAAGTGCTTTTGTTGAGGTTCGATTCTTGAGCCAAACAGCATGTTTGACTGCCTCACCCTATAGGAACTTGGGTAATCCACTTCCATGCAGCATAGCGTGTACCTTCTCTATGAGGGTGCGGTTAACCCGTTCAGCCACCCTGTTCTGCTCAGGAGTGTCATGGGCGGTAAGTTTCCTGGCTATTCCCTTCTTTTCCAGGTACTTGTCAAACTCTCCACTCAAAAACTCGCCACCTTGATCACTATGTATAATTTTTACAGCAGCATTCATGTGGTTTTGCAGCCAGGCCTTGTATGTGCAAAATTGTGAGAAATTTTGCTCTTGTCACATATCAGGAAGAGGTGAGTCTTCCGTGTCTTATCATCAGTAAAAGCAACATAATAATGTTTTCCACCAAGTGTCTCGACAGGTGCAGGCCCCCAGAGTTCCGTATGAACCTCATCTCCATAGGCTGTGGCGCGTTGTCATGCACCAAAAGTGATTAGTAGCATGGACAGGTGTCAAAAAATGAAGCGAATATTCAAAAGACTTGCCTTTGCGCCACACAGGCACAGTGCCGCGTGGAATATTAATTAATATTGCCTTTTTCAAACTTGGGCTGATCAGCACCACCTCTATTAGGCAATCAAGTTGCACTCACCTTCACCTTTGCTTTCCATTCAGTACTTTCTGCATTTCTGCATTTTGGCAATTTTTTGTGTCACCACTGGCTACACATTGCGCCCTTGCTTTTGTTGTTTCCCCTACCCTTTTTCCTTTACTTAGCCCCACCATGGGCCCTTAACTCTCCTTTTTATTCTCACCTGACAGTCATTTCTGGCTACCCATTCTAGTCCACTGCTCTGTCACCTCCACTCTCCTCCTACTTGTCTTCCTTGCTCCTCCACCATACCTGATGTCACCACTCTCCATCCGTTTTCATTGCCAATCTGTTGACCACGTGCCACTTTTAATATCAGTAAAGCCCCAGCGGCCGGTCCAAATTGGGCAACAGGTCCAACTTCATGACGTCAATCTGCCATCTTCCACTATTAAATCATTGGCCGCTTGTCTTGCCTGGTTAGAGTGTGGGTGAGTAGTTTTTGAGCTGGAGAAGGTTCATCCCCTTGCATTGCCAATGTACATTGCTGTCTCATTCACTTGGGTACATCTATCCTTTGTCCATCATCTTCACTACAGCTACACTTACAACACACTGCCTGGGATACATTTGTTCCAAATTAGAACTACCCCTCTCCTTGCCTTGTTTGACCAGGTGGTCCGCTACAACCAGACCATTGGTAAAGCCATGGAACTGTCAAATTTGGATTAGATAGTGGACCGGTGGCTTTAGTTCCTTTTTTTTCAGCAGAACATTCATTTGCAATGCAATTATTTTTGATTTTTGAATCATTTTTATGGACACATATTTCTTTAGAATGCCTGACTGACAATAAAAGAACTGTGTTGATACTGATATTGTTTTGCCTTGCTTTTTTTTACTGCATCTTCCCATGACATCATGATTTTCTTGCTCTCTTTCTGCTATTGGACTCTATTTTATGGATGTACAAACCTGTGACATTATTTACACAGCATTCATTGTTCTATCTCTTTCTTTTCCTTATTCTGAAAATCTTATCCTATACTACCTATGCAGGATTTGTCAGCATACATTTCTTCCTTCATGTTCTTTCTCATTCTCTTTGCACAGCTATACTGTGCATAGCCTACCTTTCTTTTACTATGTAAACCCCTGTATTTTACCTTGTAAAAAGAAGAAATCCGATCCAGACTTCTTCTCTAATCTCAAATTCACTACTCTCTGCTACTTGTGATCCAGTGTGGTCACAACACTTTCTACTGCTACTACTGTTAAGTGCTGTCATTGTCACTCTTTACTTCTGAAGTCTTTGTTATCCCTTTTGATTAGAGTCTTTTTCAACATTACAATTTGTGTGTCAGAAGCCTGCTATCACTGGGAACCTTGTCACCTTGTCACCTTGTCACTTTGTCATTCTCAAACCTACCTTGTGCTACGATTAGCAAGGTAGTGCTTGTCTATACTCTTCATAAAACCCCTATCTTCTATATTCCAACTATCCCTCCTCCTCAAAATCCACACCCATACATATCTGGGTTTGACTTTGAAGGATCGTCATACATACCACCCACAAACAACCAGAGCACCCACTGTTCTAGGAGGCAAAGCCCATAAACAAGTTCCATGGAATCTGTAACTCTTTATTCATCTACAAAGACTCTGCTTGTAATTAAATAACTTGACTTTCTGTTAGCTCAGCATAAGAGTCAGGTTCTCACAACTTCTTCATCACCCCCACACTCCTCCTTCTTTTCCTCCAAGCATCTCCTCCCTACCTGATATTACTGCTTTCTATCTGCTTCTGTTGCCAATCCATTGACTATCATATGCCACTGCTCATATCAGCAAAGCCCCAGCAGCCAATTAAAGTTGGGCAGTTAGTCTACCTCCATGACATTGATCTTCCATCTTCTACCACCACATCAGTTACTTGTCTTGCCTGGTTAGAATGTGGCTAGGTAGTTTGTGAGCTGGAGAAAGTCCATCCACTTGCATCGCCCATGTTCCTTGATATCCCATTTGCTTGGGTACATTCATCCTTCATCTATTGTCTTTGCTACATCTACAGTTACTATGCTGCCTGAGACTCGTCTGTTTCAGATTAGAACTACTTCCCTCCCTCCCTTGTTTGACCAGATGGTCCACAACAACAAGACCCTTGGTGAGGCCATGGAACTAACAGATTTAATCTAGGTGGTGGACCGGTGGCTCCAGTCCCTCTCTCTTATCAGGATACATATTCATTTGCAGTACAATTATTTTTGATTTAGAATCATTCTTATGGACACATATTTATTTAAGATGCCTAACTGATAACAAGAGAGCTGTGTTGATACTAATGTTGTTTTTGCCTTGTTGCTTTTTTGCTATTGGACTAAGTTTTGGCTGTACAATCTGTAACACTCTAAAGGTTTGAATTTTTTGTTCCTACCTTTTTCTTTCCTTATTTCAATAATCTTATCCTATTACAATTGACGTACCAGTACCTACTTACGCTTCACTTTTTCGTACTTTTACTTTTACTTTTTCCAAGTCACATGACCAGTCATGTGACCATTTACTTTACTTTACATTTTCAACTTTTCATAATCACACGACCAAGTCACGCGACACATAACCTGACCAGTGTCTAGGCTCACCATGTGACTGGCCACATGCTAAACATCAGACTTTAAACTTTATTTACAACTGTACAGTACCTCATGTATTTTAGTATATATACAGGAGCAATACACAGGGAAGGACTCAGCGAGTCCCCCTGTTGTCTAGCACAACTAACTTGTTGAAACCTGAGGGGTGATCCCTCCTTTCTCTCTTCTCCTTTGCTTGTCTGAGTTGTGCGCCAGAGTAAGAAACTCTTGGTCGTTACATATCCTGTACTACTCTCACAGGATTCATTATTACATTCCTTTACATAGGTTTTTTTTCTCTTTACTATATAAACCCCTATACTTTACCTTGTACATTTTCACAATCACAATTCAGTCTTGTTCTCAAATCTCATCCTATCCTATCGAGTATATAGGGTTTCTCACAAAATTTCCAAGTTCAAGTCCAATATCTTACTGCTGCTTGTGATCCAGTGTGGTGACAATATTTTTTGCTGCTACTACTTGTAGAGAGACACGTCATTGATTTCAGAGTAAACAGAATTGCTATTAATTGAAGAGTCTGCAAGTACAGAGTAAAGAGGAACATACCTCAGCGTGAACAGAATTTCTAAGGTCTCAACTATGAGAAAAGTCTGTATATATAGTATGTAGGACTCCTGACTGTTGTCAAGTTGATATTAGAGCTCAACACTACTGTTTACTGTCATTGTTGTCACTTTCCACTACTGAAATCACTATCATCTTTTTCAATTAGAGTCCTTTTGAGCACTACAGTTTGTGCTTCAGGAGCCTGCTATGACTGGGATTCTTGTCATCCTTATCATCCTCAAACCCGCCCTGTACTACAATTAGCAAGGTAGTGCTTGTCTATATTTGTTTTAGTCCCCAATCAAGCCCCTATCTTTCAACTACCCTGTTAGCATATCTTGTTTATGATACACTCACATCCTATCCTTTTATTTCTTCATTTCTATACACTATTCTTTCATCTCTACTTGACCGCTTTTCCACTATATTATATAAGCTCAAAACTTTCCCACACTTATTCCAAAAATTGTAGCACTCTGCCTTACACAAACCTCAGTCTCTTGATTATAAGACTCAGGTATGTCTGGCTATTTTACAGTTTACTTTATATCATCATACTCACTTGACACTGTTAAAAATAATCTCTTTTAGGTAGATTATCCTTCAATAACAGTCTCTTGATTATAAGACTGAGAAATACTCTCATTTAGTCTTCTCAGGTTTTACTTTGAAGGATCATAAAGCTTATCACCCCATGAACTACCAAAGCACCCACTGTTCTAGGAGGCTTAACCCACAAACAAGTTTTGTGGAATCTGGGAAGGTATTTGTTAGTTGTTTTGTGTGTGGTTTCCTAACAGACAGTCTTCATCATCAACAGCACCTATACAGAAACTCTTCCATGTCAATACTCAGCTTCACTGTCTTACCCTTCAAGGACTTGACCTGGCATTTATTGTGGTTATATACTGTAGCTTTGTATTTGTTGCCTGACAAGAGATTGGAGTGGATATATGGGGTATCATATAAGAGTAAGGCACAGGACCATGCCAAATAGCAGAGCACAAGGGGCACAATTCCAAGAAATCTGAAAATCTGGTAGCTTAGAATACAGGCATTTTGGAGGCTCAGGTTTTCTGGCCTGTGGTATGGATACAACACTCTTTCATATTCATGCCACAGGCTGTGGTTTCCACACCTCCAAGCAGTCAGAAACCCCCAAGTCTGAACTCCTAAATCTTTGGTACTCTCAGAATTATGCCCCTTGTGTTTTGCTGTTTGGCATAGCCCTGTACCTTGCTCCCATATGTTTCCTCTGCACATTTTCACATTCCTTATGGACTCTGTGGTTAGACCTTATGGTACACTCCCCTCACATACAATGTCGGAGATTTGTATTCTTGGTTGCAGCCGGGTGTAGCTGCAGTGGTATTGCAGACCGGTTATGACAGGAATGCAACCGGTGTAGATTAGCTAAGATTACATAACACTATTGCAAGCGCCATCGCAAGGCATCGTTGATACCATCAATGCTTTCCACGCCTTGCGAGGACCTTTCCCAGCTCTCTGTACATACTGTACTGCCCATCTTCGCTGTACATTCCAAATAACATCTGTATCACAACTTACTATGCCTAAAGACACCAACAAGAAGACCTGCCCAACCTGCAATAATCTGTTCAAGCCTCGAGGACTGGTGACCCATATGAAGACCTGTCAGGTCCAGGTTGCCGCTATGAAGGAAGACCTTGAATTGAGCAAACGGCTCCGTCGCAAGAAAAGACAAAGTGAGTCACTATATTGGAGAATAATAACCGACTAATTAAGATGATTAATGCACGGTGGTTTAATCAAGAAAAAGAGCTTGCATGGGCTACTCATAATCAAGGTTGACATAATTTGTATTTTTCGGACTCCTTGAGTACTGATTATATGGCTGTATTGAAGCTGGGCCTTCGTCATGGCTGATCCAAGAGGATGAACACACTACTGCTAATAATGATTTGCCTTCAAATGTTTTTGGTATGTACGTATGATTATTTATTTTATCACTGTTCTGATTATTATTATGTTTCAGCATCCTCCTCACAAGTTGGTACCGAGTCAGATGCAGTAGGACAGCTGGAAATGGATGATATAAAAGTAGAATACCATCCAAGCAGTGGCCGAGCTGCAAGCATCAAGCACGTGCATCATCTAGAAAGAACCACATCATTAACTCAAAGCCTTGGTCTCCTTTTCGGTCACGTACTGACTTTGAATTTGCAGAGATTGCCCTTGAGGCTGCGCTGAACAAGGATCAGATAACAAGACTAATAAATCTGATTCAGTGGTGTGGGAAGAAGCCAGATTCATTCACATTGAAAAGTCACACCGAGCTATGTGAAGCATGGAAAGCTGCTGCCCATGATCTCACACCGGTTTGCACCTTTATGTAGTTTTGGTGTTACCCCGCTAACATGAATTTAGTTTAGTTTTCTAAAGTAACGATTTCAGTTCCTTTCCGAAATGAAGAGCATCAATTTGATGTCCATTTCCGGCCACTGTGGGACTGGGCATTGGATCTATTAAATGATCCGGAGCTGGCACCACATTTTGTCTTCAATGCTGAAAGGCTTTCAAAATATAATGGCCGGTCTTTTGTACAATTTTTTGATGAGCCATGGACGGCAAAGGATTTTTGGGATATTCAGGTATGTTACATATTTACATGTGGTAGGTAGTATTAAAATGCATATATTTATTATTTATTATTTTAGTTGAAGCTCCCTGAAGGTGCAAAGCCATTTTGTTTCATTTTGTATGCGGACAAGACAAAGTTGTCTTCGTTTGGTTCTACAAAAGGTTATCCGGTTGTTGCACGTTGTGCAAACCTGCCAGTTGATATCCGCAATAGTAGAGGTGTGGGAGGTGGTCGAGTTGTCGGGTGGCTTCCTGTGGTAGATAATGGCTGATATTCAAGATCAGCCAAATGATTACTGATGATATTGGTAGGTGCCGGAAGATGAGGCTCATAAAGGCAAAACAACATTTGCCAACTTCAAGAACATTGTCTGGCATGAGGCATTTTTGAAGATTCTCGAGTCTATTGAACCTCTCTCAAAGACAGGATACTGGCACGAGGACATTATTGATCATATTCAGCGACATCTTTTCCCTATTATGTTGATTTTGTCAGCTGATTACGAGGAACAGTCAGTTGTATGACAATTATTTAATATGCATTTAATTTATATTTATACAATTTCAGGTGCGCAATGGCCTCAACACGAGGGGGAAAGTCCAAATTTCCATGCCCAGTTTGTCTGGTTCCGAAAACAAAACTATCTGACCACAGTCAAAAGTATGATATTCGGACCAGTGTCAAATCTGAGGCTACAGTAAGAAATGCAAATTTTCAGCCAACGGAAGCAGAAAAAGAAGAGATTTTGAAAAGCCAGGGGCTTCGGCCTGTTAATGTGAGTTTTTAACTGGTCAGACTGATACTATCTTACTCATAATTTGGAAGAATGTATTCTGGAAGCTTGGGTACTCTGATGTCCATCGTGCCTTATCTTGGGACCGATTACATGCCCATCATACTGGTTTATGGGGTCATCATCTTTGGAAGGAGCTCATATTCTGGATATATCAGCTTGGCCGGCCAGCTGCAATACAACTTGATGATCAGTATGTACCGGGTATTGGATTAATGTTGATATGTTACTCAGTGAAAGCTAGGTTTAAGAAAATGCCCCGATGGCGTAACTTGAACCATTTTGATAATGTTGTCAGTTTAGAATTTGCAGATGCTACGAAGCATGAAGATATTTCTAAGGTGTGGCACTATTTCCCAATTTTCATGTTTTTTTTTCCGGGCTGAGGCTCTTTTGCCTTAGATGGTTCTGTTTTGCGCTCATAACATTTTTGATGCAGGCTCTAATAAATTGGCATATACTCTCCTATGATGCATTCGCCATTACCTTAACGTTGATATGTACACAGCCTTGGAAGTTCATACAATGGAAACTATTGCAGCAGGCAGGGATGCCCTGAAAATCTTTTCTCAGACAATGGATGTACGTTGTAATTTCTGAGCTATATTATCTTATCAAGTCAATTGTAACTCATTCTTTGATATTTAGGAATATATCAAGGCTATTGAAGGAACCCGTGAGAAGGACAAGGACTGGAACTTCCCAAAAAAACACACTAACATCCATGTTTTCGATGACATTGAAGCCAAAGGTGTTACCCGAAATTATAATACTAAGCCGAATGAACAGCTACATGGGCCTCTCAAAGATTCATATCAGCTGCGAACAAATTTCAAAGATGTTGCCGAGCAGGTGAGTACTGCAATTTACGCACTGGCATGCACATGCCAGGACGACAAGTACCTAATCTTGTTTGGATATTGTTATAAGATTCTCCGTGCAGATCACTGGTGCTACGTGTCAAAATATATTCGCCAGAACATCACAGCATTTGACGATAGCCTAAGACCTGACCCAACAATACAAGATTTCAACGATGTGGATGATATTACAAATGCTAGTGGTCCCGTTAACGACGGAACTGGTCATGTTTCGCTGGGCTCAATACGCCCTTCAGTGACATTTCAGGCCCTGGAGCAGCTGCAGAAAGATGATGTTGCATTTAATGGATTTCGCATAAAGCTTGCTAATTTTTTGAATAATTTCCTCCCATCTATCAATGTTCCACTGCCTGGGGGCAGACATATCAAACTTAGCACGGCAGACAAGGTTCGCAACTGCTAATACTCAGGCTTTAGATTTGGTTTACACTTTACCTTGACAGATCACCGAGTATCGGTTTCTGAAAGTTAACTACGAATCTTTTGTCGACTGGCGGCAATATACGGACTATTTGCGATGCAGTCCAAAGTTCTACAACCACCCACGTTATGACTGTGTCCTGCTCCAAACGACAAATGGGGCGATTTTTGCTCGCCTAGTGTTCGTCTTCACATGCAGCATTGACAATGCCACCTATTTATTGGCGCTGGTTCAGCCTTATGATGCTCCAACAGGCCAGCGCAGATGCAAAGATAAAGATTTACAGCTTTGGAGGCTTCATTCAAAGCTGCGCTCTGCAACTGAAATCGTTCCTGTTCAGTCTATCATCCGTGGTGCAGCATTGGCACAAGACTACGATAATCCTGGAGATTTCTTTGTCATAGATACTATTGACACTGACTGGTTCTTACGGATAAAAAAGATCTGGAATGGATCACTTCATTCATAATAGACTAAGCAATGACTGTGATTATTTGACGACAGCCCTTATGATATTTACAGTATAATATTATCATATGTATGTGGACTTCCACAAATCCGACCTTCTTGATGCTGATTCAGATGCTGATGTTGTACCTGAGAAATCGGTCTTGCAGTCGCAGCCAATAATATCTTCCCCGTTCAAGTGAGTATTGTTGTAGGCGTCTCGTGATTTTGTATAACTAATAGTCTATTAGGTCAGCGCATTGTGTAACAGCGTTAGTGGTACTGTTAGTCCATGGGTCGCCCTTGATTCCAGCAACGACACCGGCCCCAACTCTCAATATCATGATTTCCGTGCCTGGACTAATGATTCCCACCCTGACTGGTACTTTGAAAGTATGACGATGATGCGTTGGAAAAACTGAGTCGGATATATTGGCTACACTCCCCAGGAAATCGGTAACTTCACAAGCTCGGGCAAGTCGATAGGTATTTACAACAACCTCATCTACGACTTGACTTTGTACGCCAATAACGGTCCCGCAATACACCCTCCTAATGGCGAACAAGCACCTGAGCAACTGGATAACCTCAACATCGATAGCGCCATTTTAGAATGTCAAAGTCTGTTTGCGCAACTTGTTTTTGATGGGCATGGTGGACCACCGTGAATCCCCTCAATGTCAATTCTCATTGTACCTCCTCATCTCCCTTTCCGCTGTCATGGTCGCCATAATCGCATTCAAATTCATAGCATCTCTCAATTTTGGTTCTCCTCGTGCACCTGAAGACCACAACAAGTCTGTTATCTGTCAGGTTCCTTGTTATACGAACCCGATGGAACTGGAGATGTACCACCAGATCAAAAACATCATTGGAGTGAACCCTACTTTCTACAAGTATATTTTCACTGTTGATGCCGATACAGTGGAACCTCTTTCCGTCAACCGTTTGATTTCTGCGTAAGTATCAGTGCTGAATATGCGATATACCCAAGTTCACAAAGTTTTGCAGGATGATTCACGACAAGAAGGTTCTCAGTGTTTGTGGAGAGACGGAGCTTACTAACACCAAGCAGTCTATCATCACTATGATGCAGGTTAGTCTTTTTTATTATATTCTCTCCTATAACTTAATTTTCTGATGCACTTCGTAGGTGTATGAATACTTCATTTCTCATCATATGGCGAAAGTGTTCGAGAGTCTTTTCGGTTCCGTCACTTGTCTTCCCGGTTGTTTCACGCTCTACCGTCTTAGGACGCCCGATACACACAAGCCTCTCTTGATCTCGAATCAAATGGTCCAAGACTATTCTGAAAATCGTGTTGACACTCTGCATATGAAGAACTTGTTGCATTTGGGAGAAGATCGTTATCTCAGATTGCGCTTTATCTCCTACTATGGGGTGAGGCAGCCCCAGTTCGCTTCGTCCCTGGATGCTAACACTTTATCTAGTAATATCTTCACGTAAAAGCAGAACCATATTGTCCGAGTCATTGCACGGTGCATAAACAACGTGTCAGTAAATTTTTGCTTTCTATCCCCCACCACCTTGTCCAGGATCTACGACATGGCTCGAGGCTCCTCATCTGATTCAGAAAACACAGATTCAGATCGAGTGTTGTCAAACGAGTCTGATAGTGGCAATGAGAACAGAACATCTCTCACCAATCCATTTTTGAGGGATGATGCATCTCTTACGGAGTACAAGGAGGTGAGTGAAATACTGAAATTATAGAGCTAGTAAATTCTGACCTTCAAGCTCGTACTGTATGGACTGTGACAGGCTGTAAAAGCAATGCAACTCCAGATGGCCGAACTCCGTAGCGAAAACAGGGAATTGAAGAGGGCCAATGCAATAATGAAGTCAAATCAACCAAAACGTCGAACCAACGCAGTGCCAAAGGAGATCTCGACTCACGATGTAGAAATAGCTAGGCAGGCCAAAAAGTATGGGATCATGGTTGACATGCACGTGAATACCTTGTTTTTCAGAAAGCAGCGGCCAGATGGCCCATGCCCAGATTCAGAGGAGCGCTATGCATCACCACTTGCGGAGGAACAGGCACAAATCATTGAGATATACGAGTTCATTCCCGAGCATCTTCATTGCTTGATGAGAGAAAGTCATCACTTTGGAAACATAGTATGTCCATGCATCAGGTATTAATCTACGACTGTTTTTGTCTCTAATCAAATGATCTATCAGTTCTCGAAGAAGCTTTGTAATGGCCGCTTGGATATATTACACAAAATAAGAACGAAAGCAGGCATCATCTACGATCTACCAGAGCATGTTTTCGAAACGACTTTCGACAGGTCAACAGTGCCGGAACTGAGAGCATTGCTGGGTGTAGACGATAACAGGAAGGATGCCAAATATCCTATGTTCCCACCGGTACTCTTCCCAAACTTCAAGGTTGATATGAAATATATCTTCGGAAACCCAATCATTGCAAAAGTATGACATAACAGTAACTTCAATACCACACGCTCACGTCTTTCCAGATACTCAAAGTCACTTTCCGTGGACCTAACTCTCTCTCGGGTGGTCGAGGTGGTGGTAAGAGTAATGCAAATGCATGGCATGTTACCTGCAATACACCAGGTTCTCTGGCATGGGGTGCTGTTGCTGTATGTACCTTTTTACTATCTAGTCAGACCATTTCTTGACATTTTCATTCTGTGCTACAGGCCGTGTTTTTGGCTTCACCTGACGACGAATTCCCACATGATGGGAAAGGCGCAATATCCCACATACAGTATTTTGATATGTTTCGTGCCTACAAACAAATCCTTGTGAAGAAAGGTGGCACTAGATGTATTAAGGAAACGTACCGGATGTTCAATGCTTACATTTTCTCCTCGAGCAAGGTACTGGCTGTAGTTCCAAAAGTGCATGAGGACTACACAGACCAAATTGAGCTGGCACTGGCAGCATTAGATGTTCAAAGTGATGACGATTCTGAAATTGGCGGCAATAATGAGTTATTAAATCCAGCTCAGCTTGCAGTCAACCATGCACCGGTTTCCAATGTCGCTCTGTCAACTTTGGGTTCCCACGCAATCAATAGCACCACGCCCTTAAATCCAGATGCAGCCGTCGTTTCACTGGCAGAGGGTGGGATCGAGTCAGGATTGACAGAAGGGTTGGTAGAAGAGAGGACCGGTGAAACATCAAAGTCAAAGAAGAGAAAGGATAAAGGAAAGTCAAACCATTCTCAGACAAATACTGTCAGTGAAACTAGTACTAGGCGTTCTCGTCGTGCAGGTCTTTAACCAATCTCGTTAACTTGTGAATTAGTTTTGTTATGTCTGTCGTTTTTTACCGTCTCAAAGTGACTTATTATTTTCTGTGTGCACAGAAGAATTCATCATCATCTAATTAGTACAGGCGGCATAGTATACAACGGCTCTGTGGTGTAGCTGTAAGTATCAAAAAAAACTCTTGGTTGCAATAGCAGTTGCAACTGGGTTCAGCGGCTTTCCAGTTCGAATCCTGGGCATGTAAAGGAATTGTTGTAATTAGTTTTTGCGTCTTGCAGCATCAAAGGGTATAGCCTTGCAGAGGATTAGTAATCACATCTCAATAAGGTTGCATTATTAAGCGCAATCACTGTGATTAGATTGCAACTGACGACTCTATTCTGACAACTAATTATAACTCGTGGTTGCTATTTCAGTACTGCAATGCATTGTAACTGATTGCAGCTATTTTTTAAAATCTCCGACAAACTCTTCCTCACTAGATAGTTGTCCACATGGAACTCCATACTTACATTATGAGTTACTCCTTGCAAACTCCACTCCCCCGGATTAGTATATAAGCCATATCTCCAGTACTCTGTTCCTACAGTTTGAATATCAATAAGTTTCTCCACCTTTTAAACCCAAGTCTTTTCCTAAGTTTTCTGGTCCTTCTCCAAAGAACCATTACCCCACTCTACTTTCATCCTCTACTCTTCCTTTATTCACTCTGTCAAGTTAGGGACCAAGGTTTGCGGAAGGGCCTAGCACGCAAGCTAAGCCAATGTCCAATCTCACACTTTGTTCTGCTCCTCAGCATATCTCCATCCCCAGAACTCCAACTACTCCAAAAGTCACAGTTCTGACACATTGTCTGAATGAACTATTATTTTGAAATAGCTGCCATTTTGTCAAACCTTATCTGAATCCCTTGATCTTTGGACCTATAAAAAGCTAATGACTAACTTTATTTATAAACACATACATTAGGGCAAGGGTTTAGAGTTATAGGGGAATAGTATGTTTGGTGAAAAATGACCAGATATGCAGACAGCTTTCTGAGCCACTGTATATGATTTTGGGATATATGCCTGTCCATCCCTCCAACAGCATCCAGCAGATTGTGACTGGGAAAAAAATCAAATTTTAGGAAACGGAACTCCCATACAAGCCCTAAGTGGTTCACAGTTTGTTTTGTTTCACTTGTGTGGTTTTTCATGGCAACTCAGGTGTGGAAGGCACCTGACACTCACAGCAAAGCTGCAATGAATGCAACTTGCATCCAGGAATAGTAGTGTGCAATGCTAGTTTAGGGTTTGGACTAAAGACAAAATTTACATGGCAGTGACTACTAAGTGCACTACACCATAGACAAGGACTGCATTAATTGCTAGAGAAGCAGTGTGACATTCCCGGAGTTAAGAAGGGTGTCCAGACTGTCAAAAAATAAATGTTCCAATAAGCATACTGTGAAAACTAGGACAGCCTTGAGAAAATATGGATTTTTGAAGTGGTTAGCCACCGAGATAACGTACAGCTAAACGTTCGTGGCTATGTTTGGGAGCCGTATATAAACAGCGCTTCGAGCTTGGCGACCCTATTCTCAACATCGACCTACATTTGCTTCAGCTATTGCCCCGCTCGCCTTCACTTTCCCAATACATTTCTACCACATAGCCCTTTACATCCTTAGACTAATAACCGCCATGTCTTTATCCTCTACCACAGACTCTACACTCGACCTTCTTTTCCCCGCCGAGCTCATTTCTCCTGAAGTTTCAAGTCAGCTACCCAAGGAATTGCATGTAAGCGTTCTATCGAGCTCGGTCGTCTTCACCTGCTCAATCATATCTAGATTCGTCCCTTGGCGTCGACAGACTACAGACGTGGTCACCTCTCCGTGTTATCCGTCCTGACTGTGGTCAATGACCCAGGTGAAGCTGCCTGGGTCTCCCAATTCCACGCTATGCGCGGCGCACCACGCACCTACTACCCCATTGTTATTGTCGACAAACCAACAGACAAGATAGTTGCCGTCGGTACTGCTTTTATTGAGCGCAAGTTCTTGCGTGGCCTGGGCAGCGTCGGTCACATCGAAGACATCGCCGTCGACAAGAGCCAACAGGGGAAGAAACTCGGTCTGCGAATAATTCAGGCTTTAACATACATCAGCGAGAACAGCGGCTGCTACAAGACCATCTTGAACTGCTCTGATGCCAACATACGTAAGTCTCGTGGTTGCCACACCCCTTGACAGCTATCTTACATCAGTTACGGCAGCGTTCTACCAGAAGTGTGGTTTCCAGCAGAAAGAAAATGAGATGGTATGTCCGTTTTCGTTTTTTTGGTTAGACTCCGTTGACATAAAATTCCGCTCTATAGGCCAAATATGCGCCAGAACGCTCGCACTCCCCAAGACTCTAATGTAGACTTCATTTTCTCGCAGGACACAGCCATGACTCCCAGGACAATTCGTATTGTATATATCCACGCAGAGCGTATCTAGTTACATAGATGAAGGACTTTAGGTCGCACATTACCATTATATTTGTAGTCAAATTTCTCCCCTACGTTCTGAATCCAGTCAATATTGATACCATTTGGAGCACATTTTTGGCTGATGGTTCACTTGCACTGTATTCAAACGAAGTTGAGAATTATGACTGTTGCAATCATGTCATTGACTTCAATTCGCACTGGATATCGTTGACGCAAAGCAATGAAACGTATCTAGATGATATGAAAAAGGCATGCATGCAGCATAGATTTTGTGTGCGTAGGTAGTGTCATGTCGAAGAGCATGTGCCATACAGATACCAGATATGATCATCCCAAGATCAATCATCTGCCGCCTTTACCACCCTTCATCTGCTGCTTCGAGACTCTAGGTGCAGTCGAGACAGGTGCGCGAGCAGGCTGTTAAGCGAAAAAAAGACATCACAACAGTCGGTCAGTTTTCATCCATCGCGCTGCACATTGCCAAACGCACCTTGGCTTTCTTCGATTCCTTCTCTTTCTTCTCAGTCTTGGCTTTGGTTATGGCAGCCAATCGCTGCTGCGTTCGGATGGCAGCAGTCTGGTTACGCTTGGCAGCGATAGCACTGAGGTCGGCACCGACGATTCCACGCTGGTGCTTCACAGTTCGGCGGGAGCGCTTCTTGGCGACTTCCTCCGTGATACCCTTCTTGTGCATACGACGGTAGACCTGTGTCCAGGCGATCTTACGGGGGTTCTTACGTTGGCGGAAGAGGGAGGCATTCTTTGAGCTGGCGAAGCGGAAAACCTGAGAATGAAAATGACCAATGGATCAGTATATATTTCCAGATAGATGCTTCGTGGAATGTGATGCTGACTTTGCTGTCGCCACGGACGAAGAGCTTACCCTTAGAAGGGTAGATACGGTAGCCAGAGAACGAGTCGATTTCAACCTTCTACACTCGTAGGTAACTCTGTCAGTCCAAGAACAACAAAGCTAAAAGGGATACGCACCATCTGCAATTACAAAACGCACCAAGACAATTCAATCAATCAGCATCCGATTATCACACAAATCGCGAAGAATAGAGTGAGAGGGAGTGCATATATGTATCTGATGTCAACTCGGGCCATCCACCTCGTACAAGGGCCCCAAACCAGCGGTTTCTCGCGTTTAAATGTGAAATATAGCACCAAGAAGTCGTTTCTGCTATTTCATGGAGAGAATCTGCATGGATTCGTGCTCACCTTGATGAATTTGCCGGTACTTGCGGGCTCTTTGCTGTACTATGAACACTAGCGCAACGTCGGTGGCGGGCCTCCAAACCCGGTTGTTGCCGAAATTGGAGGTCCGTCAAACCAAGAATGGTCAGGTCTTGTTATTTATTATCTATTTGCCCAACCTGAGCTTGACACAAATTGTACCATCCTCTGGAGTTTGCGAGGAATAATCTCAATCCCTGCTGTTTTTATTTCCCACTGTGAAGTTGATCGAATGATCGACGTTCTGCCGCATCTCTCATCAACTAAAATTCAAGTTGTATCTTGGCCTCTGAATTAGTCTCGGATCCGCTCTGAACCACAAAACAGGATTTTTCATGTCATTCCACGGAGAACTGGAACGATAATATAGGGGTATGCTGAAATCTGGCGCTCATGAAGCTCTTATTACTATTGACTGCATGGGTTGATCATAATTGATTAAAACTCTTGAGGCGAAACCATTCCACGGTTAGCATGCCTACAGGTGCATGGGAGTGCTGGGTGGGTAGGCTACATCAAGCACTTTTATGAAAACGTCACGATGTGGTAGTCAGCCCATTTCGGTGAGTGTCGGTACGCTGATGACTTCAAGTTGTCCTTTTACTATGTTATCGGCTTGATAACCTGTGGTGTACGTATACTAAAAACACACATTTTATATGGCTCTCTAAGATTATGTCTTGTTCCATGGTCCGTATGGTCTGAGAGCAAATAGCCATGAAAGGCGGTGTTGGTCAGTGCAAGGTCAGTGCACTGTCAGCGCTGACGACGGGGAATGCCAGTCCGAGCGTAGTTAGTTGACGTCACGAGTGCCTAGTAATCCGAGTACGGACTGTCACGTTTGTCACGCTTGTTGCCGTGCGAAATCTGTCGTTCCTCACGGCCGTCTGCACTGCGACGACGTCCTTCACCGCTTTTAACACCTGCGCAGTCCCCTCCACCACCACCACCCCTCACAGCACGGTAAGCGGACTCTCTCCCACCGTATATTTAATATCTCTGAATTGCTCTCTGATCTTGCTCACTTTTCTTATCCCACCAGCTCGTAACGCCATCATCATGTTTGTTTCCAACCAGTTGTGGGTTCACGTCGCACAAAACTGAATGGTTGTTCTTTGCTTTCGTATAGGTCCGAACCTTATGACCCCTACGTGCCCCGTGGTGGCTCTTCCTCCAACCCGTCTGGCCCCAGTCAGGGCAACACAAAGACTGCCGCTATTCAGCAGCAGATTGACGACACTGTCGGGATAATGCGGGAGAACATCACCAAGGTAGCGGAAAGAGGAGAACGACTGGATTCACTACAAGACAAAACTGGTAAGTAATCTATGCCACCGCACCACCTGGATTTGGGAGCTTTCCCATAAAATTTTCAGTTGGCCTTTTTTGCTAAGAAGGGAGCTGATATACCATTTTTCAGATAACCTTGCCATATCAGCGCAAGGTTTCCGGCATGGTGCAAATCGTGTACGAAAGGTATGTGTTACGTTGTTATTGTACGATCCACTTAACTGATGCAGTTTTACTTAGAACATGTGGTGAGTAAAGGATGTTTTTAAATGGTACCGTTATATATTCTAATTGGCAATGTCGCTAGGTGGAAGGACATGAAGGTAATTTCCCTATCTCTGTCTCTATATATCGCAAGTCTCACAAATTGTGTGCCAGATGCGTCTCATCATTGGTGTTGCAGTCGCCATAATTATTGTCATCATTGTTGTGTCAATTGTGAAGGCAACGCAAAAATAACGCTACTACGGTTTCGACTGCGCATTACTTTATCCAGGCCTCTCTGCTCGCCTTCTTCGTTTCTGCGTACCTATGATTCGGATGTGTTGTATCTATGCGCCATACTATTAATATTTTCCCTCTCGTCGTTCCCCCGCTGTAGAGCAGTCTACGGTATCGCTGAGACCTGGGAAGATTGGACATTGACACATAGTTTTTCTGTGTAAACATGCTTGTGTTTCTGGAATATATGTATACTTGTTGTTACACATGCAACGCCTACGTAGACGTGGGGTATTTGGAGTCAGTTCCTGGCCACGACTGCAGTGTGCTGTGTTCCCACGCCACCCTGGTTTGGCAGAGATTTGTGTGCTGAGGAATTCGAGTTACTCCATCGTGGATAACTCTGGTTATCCGCTCGTGTTTCTCTGTGCCACTGGCATTGCCTTTGATTCCTTACATCTGTGTCTACCTTTGAGGCTTTCCGCCTGCGCCCCTCTTTTTCTTATCTTACCATCTTGTACATGCCTCTATGTCTGCTGCACACGGACACAAACATACGGGTTCCGTGACCCAGAACCACAAAGCCCAGCTTGCTAATGCCTATAACGAACTTGGAAAGGAACTCGCCTCAAACAAAATCAGAGTAGTTGGAAACTACACCCTAGGCAAAGTTATTGGAGAAGGTCGGCATTCTAGAGATTGCATCGTATATGCTCTGTCCTGATGGTTTATCCTACAGGAGCGTACGGGAAAGTACGCCTAGGAACGCATCGTCTCACCTCTACCCGCGTCGCCATAAAGCAAATACCAAAGGCAATGTCGGCCTCGTTGACCCGCGAAATTCATCATCATCGCCAGCTCCACCATCCACACGTCACACAAATGTACGAAGTCATTGCGACAGAATCGTCTATCTGGATCGTCACGGAGCTTTGCTGCGGCGGAGAGCTGTTCGACTACCTTGCTGAAAAGGGACGACTGACAGAGGACGAGACTAAAATCATATTCGGCCAACTGTGTCTCGCTGTTGCCTATCTCCACGATAAGGGGATCGTACACCGCGACCTGAAGCTCGAGAACGTCCTCTTGGATGAACGATGCCGCGTGAAATTGGGTGATTTTGGGTTCACTCGGGAATATGATCGTGGTGTATACATGGAGACTTTCTGCGGAACCACAGGTTATGCTTCGCCTGAAATGTTGCAAGGTCAAAGATATCTAGGGCCAGGCAAGTACTCATCTTTGAATATTGACAATTGATCCCCTAAAATTATTCAGCAGAGGTTGATATTTGGTCGATGGGCGTTATTCTGTACTGCCTTCTTACTGGGACTCTGCCATTTGACGATGACGACGAAGCTGTTATGCGCGATAAAGTCATCCGAGGCGAATACGAAGACCCAGAGTGGCTATCTACAGGTATTTACCAGCGGGAGGGATAACATCAGCTTGGACTAATGAGTTTTCATAGACGCCCGTGATCTAATTAGAAACATCCTCCAGAAGGACCCAACAACGCGCCTGAGCATTGCACAAATTCTCGCATCTCCCTGGTTTTCACAGCCATCTTCTTTAGACCCCTCATCCAGCCTCCGACAAGCGACTTTAAGTGAAACGACGCCGTCACCGGTCTGTGAGAATCCCAACGCATTCTTAGCTCCTCCTAGCATAGACACACATGCGAAATTCTCTTCCGAGCCATCGGCGTCATCAGCGACGTCGGTAACCTCAGAGTCGACATTTCTCTCGGCTTCGTCCGACCTATGCTCCACTCCCACTACGCCCGATGATAATCCATCACAGGATCCCTTTGATTCGTGTAAGGCCGATAATGCACGCATACACCGTAATCCTAGTCAGATAACCATCACGAAGTCCGAATATGCCGATCGCGAAGCTCACAGGGCGAGACGCCGGTCTAGAGATAGTGCACTTCGCCAGCCTGAGACTGTCTTCGAAGAGGATCTTGCTGGCGAAGTCATGACGCCTTCAAATGCGGAATTCCCTCCATATCAGTCCAACCATGTCATGAAGGCCCCCCCTTATCCTACGCGAACACCAGCGCGGACGAAGCGCCGTTCTGTCTCGTCAACCCTTTCTGACCCTGCTTCTCCTACCCTTGACAAACCGTTGGCCCCTTTACCACCGCAAGACTTTGCTTCTCTATTAAGCACACCTGCCCCTATCATTTTCTCCACACAACTAGAGCGCGAGCTCCTGAACAGTCTGAGCTTGCTCGGTCTAGACACGGGCCAAGTCGTCCACTCCGTCCTTAGCAATGCATGCGATGCCGCTGGAGCTCTCTGGTGGATGTTGAAGCGCAAGTCAGAGAAAAAAGCATTATCGGAAGCGAATGTGCCCCCAGAGCAGGTCGACGTTGGGGACCAAACTGATTCAAAGAGGAAGGAAGAACGACCCCCGAGCGAAAAACGTCGCACGAAGCGTGGAGTATCTGTACAAACCGATGAAATAGCTTTTCCCTCCTTATCCCTGGCGCAGTCCGCTCCAGAACTAACTTTTGTCCCACCTACACCCACCGTAGCGTCGAATGCTCGTTCGACCACTCCTCCACGATCCAAATCACCATTCCTATCCCCATCCCCTGTGGTCTCTGAACCTCTAATGAAATCCAATCCTTCTACCCCCAGCGGAAGCTTCAAGGAAAAAGAGGGTGTGAAAGGTCGAAGAGAGGGCAAGGTACGATCTGGCAGCGTTTCTATCATGCAACGCGCAACCACTGCACTGGAGGCGGCTGGTTTGGTGAAAAAGAGGTCAAATGAAGGGGTGAGGGAGGAACGGGAGAAAGGCAAAGAGAATGAGAAGAAAACTTCGGGTAGCGAGGATTCCAGACCTTCACATGGAAGTGCGTCCTCCAAACTCACGAAGTCGCCTCCATTGAAGGCCAAGGACAATGCTATACCAACCACACCCACAAATTCTGATTTGCACCCCCAACCGGCAAGTTCACCATGGGTTGTCACTGGATCTAAAGGTTCTCCGCCACAGTCTCCTGTTCCTTCACCTGCCAACTCGCCGGGTGACACGCTGACTTCCTTGCCAAATTTCTCGGATCATAGTGGCAAAGTTGTAGCGCCTGGTCGCAATCGGGCTAGTTTGTTATCTGCATTGAGGTTCTGGTTCAACGAAGACCGTAAAGGAAAACGCAAAGATAACAGTGAGCCAATGCCCCAAAGTGGCGCACGCGGATTGGCATATAGTCGTTCGTTAGCTAATCCTCCCTCCTCTTCTATGTCAGCTATGAAGCAAGGTACTGTCAAGCGACGAACAAGTGGTTCCGGCCGAGGCCGTCGAGGTAAAAAACCTCTTACTACTTCTCGTCGTTCCAGCAGCGTCAACTCGAGAAGGTCGTCTGGCACATCGGCCCAAATTGTGCTAATCGAATCCCCTCACGTTGTGTTGGATCAGATTCCTAGCCGCCGATCTTTTGGAACTCATACTCCAAATTCGGAGCGCGGCGATATTCTTCGAAGCCCTCGTCCATTCGTAGCTTTCTATGCGGGGAAGACACCATAAATCGCCTTCGACTGGTTGGATTGGTTCGGCAGAAGATAGGACTGCTTCGCCTTCGATGAAGGATGACCGTCGAAGGGGAGGATCGGCGTCTTCGACTCGCGTTATACGCCAGATACAGTCGACGCCATCGACAACCAATAGGATGCATCGCCGAACGAGTTCTGCAGCATCATCCGTTCATTCACTCGCTTCCTCTCGCCCGACGTCGTTTTATGAAGCTTCGGAAAGTGAAGGCCGGACGGGGTCGCCATTCAAGCCTTATCATTCGAGACGGTCACTCGAGGAAACTCCTCGTCGCGTAAATTATAATGGAAACACAACGTTCGTCGCGCAGAAGAGATCCACTCCCTTCATGAGCCCTTCCGGCCACGGCTATTCCATTGGACGATCCAGCTGGAAAAAATCCTGGGGACACGAGCCGCCAGGTTGGCAGTCTCGTTCGACACATCTTCCAGTCGAGGTTCTTTCGATCTCTCCAGCCGTAGATGGCCCCACCAATATTCGTGATGTATTTTCAGGGAGGCAGAGCCTGAACTTGGGTGATGAAAGTGACTGGATCGATGAAGAAGATGACCTGCCTGAGTTTGCGGGTGGTCTAGGCCAGATGCCTACTTTGTCTACGTCCACAAGTGCTTCTGCTTCATATGTGATACCAGAGCCGCCTTTGCCGCTGTCTCCTCCACCAAGGCGATCAAGCAAGAGGGGGGGCAATAAAGGCGCAGCTAACTTGGCACCCAGTAATATTACGGGCAACGGAGGAAGACAAAAAAGTGGACATTCGCCAGTTGGCCGCTCGTCACCTGTGCCAGCGGAAAACACCCACGATTCTGCAGAGCCCAGGACGGGACGAAGGCAGCTGCCCACTGGGCGCTCAGGTCCTGCATTCCGCCATCCCATTCAAGAAGAAGACGAAGGAGAAGAGGAGTAATTGAGAAGGCGTTTGAGCCCTTCCCTCGAGCCTTGTCATCTTTCTTCTGAAGCCTCTTTTACCAAGGTGAAATATGTTGTGTCATAACAGACTGTCTTTTCTCCTGATGTCCTTATACAAGTAGCTCCTTTGTTCGATTTGCATACAATATCTATTTTTCTCGCTTTTTTTTGCGCTCGTCTCCGTACTACTTTTGATACCCAGTCACAACAATACCTACCGATGTCCCGTCTCTCGCTTTTTCTTTTTTCTCCGTGCTATTGTTGCCTTATCTGAACGGTCTACGTAGGTAGACACCATTGACTTGGAACTCTCACCATACTATTATTTACACAGCTATAGCCTACACACTTTCACGATCTGTCATCTATTCACTAGCGCTACGTATCCAATATGAACGCATTTGTTCTCAAACCTGATTGCTAGGCGCTGCCTGTATCAGCGACACCCCCATCACTGCGAAGGCCATCGAGCAATACACAGCATACCATTCTCTGCTGAGGGTAGTACCAGTACCTATGGTAACAACATTTACGTTCATTTCTTCTGCTAAGTAATCGTAATCGTAACGCCGGTAACAAACAAGGGTAGGAGATAGAGTGAGTAAGGAGACAGGAGATACAAAACACAACGGTGCGTGGGGGGGTACAGTCTGTGTTCACTTCGACAACATCATCTGCAACACAGAACGTTGTTATACTCGTATAGCAGATAGAAGCTATACATACCTTCACGAATTCTGTATGGTTTGGAGTGGACGGGACACCCAGTTTAGTGCTGAGAATGATTACGGAGCACGTACAACTTACCATCGTAGTTGATTTGACCATCTCCGTCGACATCCGCTTCACGGATCATCTCGTCCACCTCGCTGTCTGTCAGTTTTTCACCTGCAAGCAAACGACAGATCAGCACATTGTCTGATGGCAGTAGCTCCACAACCCCAAAATAGAAAAATAGTATGTTCCAAAGTTGTCAAAGGGTTGGGCTTTTATGGTAGGCAAAGCAGTAGGAAACAAAACTATCCACGCACCGAGATTCGTCATGACGTGTCGCAACTCTGCAGCACTGATGTAGCCGTTCCCATCCTTGTCGAATACCTTGAATGCTTCCTTGATTTCCTCCTCGCTGTCGGTATCGCGCATCTTGCGGGCCATCATAGTCAAGAACTCGGGGAAGTCGATTGTTCCATTGCCGTCGGCATCGACTTCGTTGATCATGTCTTGTAGCTCTGCCTCTGTAGGGTTCTGTCCCAATGAGCGCATGACTGTGCCCAGCTCCTTAGTCGTGATTGTGCCGTCACCATCTATAGGATGGAAAACATAAGATGGCGTAATTCAAAAAGGATTTCATGCCCTTGCCTTTGTCGAAAAGGGAGAAAGCCTCCTTGAACTCTGAAAACGCCAGGCTAATCAGCACTATACCTGAGATCTCAAAAGACCACCAGACTTGCCAGAGATCTGCTCTGTGAGCGCAATCAAAGAGGGAATCAGGTTCGATGTCAGTATTCCGCCCAGATGGCGGATAGATCTAAGAAAAAATTGCAGGATACCGCATACCTTCGGACTATACAAGCAGAATTGCATCTATCAGCTTCACTCCATACACAGGTTACACTATCAGCGTACCAATTGGTCAGCCATGTTCTACGTTGTATCTGATATCTGGTAAACGTAGGAGACGTAAATGTGGTCGATGTCGATGTTTGTGGTGTCGATGATAATGAGTGGTAGAGGGCTTTTCAGGCGGAGGACCACTGATGCAACTGGTTTGATCTCGGCAATCGCCAGTGCTATATCAGGAAACCCTAATATGTTGAATATAGATCATCGTGAGCATTCCGCGCAGGCTATAAGCTCATAGCATCGCAAGTGTTTGCAAGGCTGCTAGAAGGTGAGCTCGGTGAATAGCACATATGCGGAGGGAAAGAAGTTGAACGAGATGAAATTTCACGAGGCACAGGGGAATACAGTGGGTATACATGCTTCGCTTTACATACAATGCCAGTCCGCGGGTTGTAACTCAGATGCTGGAATGTGTATACCGTACTATTCGTCCCTATCAGACGTAAATGAATCACTAGAACATCACTAAATCTCGAAATAATATAGTCCGGCCAATTACAAGACTTTCGATTGAAAGTAGATTTACCCCATACGCACCATCCAGATCAGTCCCAATCGTCTTCTTCATCCTCCTCGTCACTGTCACCTAACTTTTTGTTACGTTCCATAAGCGCTGCAGCTAATGCAGCAGTTAAATCTCCCCCTCCTCCTCCACCACTAGCACCACTTGGTTCTTCAGCAATTGGCGGCGGAGATGGCGTGGATCCGGCAGCGGGCGTTTTACGCAAGTTCGATACACTTTGACCACGTATTGAAGCTAGCAGGTCTGAACGACCAGGCTGTGGAGGAGGAAGTATAGCCGATGTGGCTCCTCCTGAGCCACCAGGTGGAGGGGGTGGTGGAGGCGGAGGTGCACCTCCCCCAGAGGGTGGCGGAGGCGGAGGTGGGGGCGGGGGCGGTGCGCCACCAACCAAGGGGGGCGGAGGTGGGGGTGGTGGGACACCATTTGCGCCTGGTCGTGCAGGCGGGGGAGGGGGAGGGGCAGCCACAGGCCGAGCAGGTGGCTGAGGTGGTGGTGGTGGAGCAGTACTCATCGGACGTGTAGGCGGCGGAGGCGGACCTCCCCTGGAAGGTGTTGGCGGTGCACGTGGATGTCGCTGTGGTGGCGGTGGCGGCGCTTGCGTTGGAGGAGCTGGAGGGGCTGCTGCAGGACGCGAAGGTGGGGGTGGTGGTCGGGAAGGAGGTGGTGGAGGTGGAGTGGGCGCAGTATCTGTATGAATTGAAGCCACACTATCCTGCTGTCCGTGCTGTACACGACGGGGTGCAGGTGGTGCAGGTGGTTTCTTTGCTGCCTTCTCAGCCGCCGCCAATTCACGATTTTTGTCTTCGGACATAAATCTTTCGATAAATTGCCTGTCGTTATTTATGTATTCGCGGGGTACGCCAATATCCTCCAAGTTACCGACGAGGGTGGTCCATGAAGGGTCAACGTTATTTGAAGTGAACCCTTTCTCATCATCATACCCCATATGTGCGACGTGCACGAACGATCCCGTCGTTGGTCCTGAGATCATGGATTTATCAATCTTGCCTCCTTTCGCGGATTTCTTCTTCTTCTCTGAGCCACCTACTTTGGCCACTAACAATCGTCGGAAATGGGCATCGACAGCAAGTTAACGAGAGCATACCTTTCTCTTCTTTACGAGTTGTAACTTTTTTGAAGAGAGTCTTTGCCTCCTTTTCGTTGGCAAATATGAGACCTATCATACACTCCTTTATGGGATTTGGGTTATATTAGAACTGCCTCACAAGCGATATATAAATATAAGATGAGCATTCCAAGACTCACATCACCTGCAAAGGAGTGAAAGAACGGTCTATCCTGAAAATAGTCAAAGCCGTCATAAAGCTCGTGCTCCCATATGACGCCCCTCGAACCATTGAGGTCCACCACTTTCAAGAAGAAAGCATCCTTCGTAGTATCTCGCACGAATGCAAGTGCACCCTCGATACCACCGTAGGACCATTTGCTCGGCTGTGGGTGTGCAAAGTAGACACGAGCTGGTGTGGCTGTCATGATTTTATTGGATGAAGAAGGGAGAGCGGATTTGATTCGCGCTTTTTCGTCAGCGCTGATACTCGACTGGACTGGCATTTTCTGTGGGCAGAATTGGGGAGACCAGTTTTAACGAAGCGTTGGACGGATAGAAAAAATATGTTGACTGCGTCCAAGGCTGCGTAGAGAATCCAAAACCCGCCCGTTTCATGATGGCGTAGCTTGGTGGCGTGGGATTTCTCAACCACAACCACTGCCTTCAGTCCCGAGTCTTTCACTCGTACCACAATGATTCTAACATCATGTCCATGGCTTGAAATGCCTTACATTTAAACGGGATCTCATGTTGGGGACAACAGTAACTCTTACAACCATACAGCGTACATCACGAATGTTCGGGGGACCACAACATCCTGGAAAAGCTGCTTCTGAATCCTGCTTATCGCTGCAAACATTTTGTTCGGCCGTGCATGTTAGACGCTCGAGAGGATATCCTCAAGGCGGTCAAAATCTGCCTTGACGATCAGGAAGCCAAGAAAAACATAGTGTGGATTACAGGCAACCCTGGAGCTGGAAAATCTGCCGTTGCTTTGTCTCGCACTTGAGTAAGATAGGACGACTTGCGGGGATTTTTTTAGTTTCGGAGGGACGACTGTGCGTCAAGCGGCCCAGTTGCTCTATCTGGCATACCCTAGTTTATGATCTCGCTGACTTTGACGGCACCATAACAAAGATTATCGTACAAACCCTGATTGAGAAACAAATGGATCCTGCGGACTTGCATGCTCACTTTAAACATCTATATCAAACCGTTGGAAGCAGTCGAGTCAAAATTCGCTGATAAGTCGCGCAACGAGTATGTATTTTCTGTAGTGCAAACACCGTTTTCTCAAAAATGTATCTTGGACTATGAGGTATCCAGTTATCGTCGTGGATGTGTTGGATAAGTGCCTAGACGGAATTCCTGACTTACAGCGCACAAATCTCATCAATAACATAGCCGAATGGTCCTCACTTCCCAGGACTTTCGACTTGATCGTCACCGGTCGTGAGGGCCATGTAACAGAATCCTTTCGGCAAATCGAGGTTGAAATATCCTACATTGGGAGCCATTGAGTGGCCAGGATCCCCGTACTTGATCAGCCCGTACTTGATATAGCTCGCAAGTCGTGTCGCAGGTCTCTTCATTTGGGCAGAGACGGCCATACAATTTATCGAATAGGGTGACCCAGAAGAGGAGTTGGATGTTATTCACTCTAGAGAGTTCACCAAAGCACGCGATAGCGCCAACGCTCTCCAGGTCGTCGAATATGCCTTAGATAAATTTCCGGCTAGCAAAAGCAACCTGCGCTGCAGCCATTATTGGGGGCAGTAATTTTTCCCCCAAGGTCCCCCTATCGCGAGAATATCTAAAGCTTCTGCATTAAATTCGCTCTCGCGCTGAAAATTTTTGTCTGTAATGCTTTGATTATGAAATATGATGAAGCTCACATGTCATTGCCATCTGATCGGACTACCACCAGCTCACTGCGTGATCCTTTGTCCGCTACCTTTGGAGTTCTCGAGGAGCCTGCGAGGCATAGCGAAAATGAACCTCCTCGTTGGACAACCCATCAAGTCTATCTTCCTCATGGCATTGTGCAGACAATCTCGAGGTGTTTCGAGTCTCGATTCCTTGCGAACCGCTCCACATCTTCTTTGCTTGCAAGAGGTGCACATTCTGTTTACGAGACAGCAATTATCATTCCTACACGTTTATTACAATCAGTATCAGATGCTGGCGCACCCCAACCTGCCCAAAGGCGGGGTAATGTCAAGAGATATATGAGAAGGTTATTGCCTTCTATTGGCAAGAAAGAGAGTAGAACCCCGAAGCTGCCTACGGGGATGTAGTCGAATGTCCCCAAAAATGCGTCAAACGGAAATATTTTCTTGCACACGAACCATTCGTGTTTCAAAGGTATGTATATAAGCTGTTACAAACATAAGTTGCGTAAGTATGACAATTGAGGAAGCGACAAGCAACTGTCCTACAACTGAAAGCTCACATCCATCTCCCATCTGTTACGCTTGCAGGCTTGAGTAAAGTGACAAAGTGACGAGGAAGTCAATCATCTTCAGCAGTGCCCAACTGAGATAGTCCATCGAGTGATCGACGGAATCACCAGCGTGATATGAAATCCGGGCAGCGTTGCCAGATGATGATTCGGTCTTGAAAGTGTTGAACCCGCTTTCGCAGGAGGTGTCAGCTCGGGTCCGTCTGCTCCGTATTCGAATCCGGTATGGCAATGAAGTAGTCGATCACCCCTGTCGTACCCTGTGTTCAGCTAACTGTGATCGACAGGGGCCTTGATCATGGAGTTCGGACGGCGGTTGCGATTCGGTTGTGGAAAGTGTTTAAATCCGCTTTTGCAAATCTGCAAGAGACGTAATTACAGCTCGAATCAATCTGGATCACTTCGAAAGATGTGGAGGTACTACTAGTCGATCACGCCTTTTGTATCTCTATGATCGACAGGGACAAGATCACTATTGCTATCGATTTCGGACGACGGACACGATTTTGTCTAGGCGGTGTTAAACTCGTTTATATAGCGGGGAACTACCTAAGCGTAAACTCCAATTCAACTGGTAGGTATCGTTCTCAATCTCCCATAACGTTTAAAGTTTAAGGCGGTCTAGTCGCCTGAACTTGTGTGTGCGAGTAAGTTGACCTTCATGCAATAGAAGTCCGGAAAGCTTACCTGAGCAAGGATTGGTGGTCACTTCTCCCATACGTGATTGAGCGCAAAGCGCGAAACTCTAGGGCTACGCGAACAAGAAACCTATTCGCATGTGCTGATCGAGAAGGGAAAGGCCTTTATCACGATGATTCTAGAACGATGGTTGCGGTCTGCTTATAGAGTGGACAACTACAAGGGGGGCTCACCTTTACTAGTAACTCATAATTCCCTCGCCTAGAAGCCGTGCATGAGTGAGTGGTCTAAGCAGTAGAACCACGAATAGCTTACCTTAGGTGAATGAGGGTGAACCGCAGTTTAAGGCTACTATGCGCTACGACAGTTGGGTCGGGTCGGAGTCGGACAGCGATATACTTCACCACAGACATTCCGTCCTGATTGCATTACAAGCCGGGGACCCTGAACGAGAATATGTTCCAGCGACCATCACCCAAGTACCTGTCGACATGTATATCTCACATGCTCCGATAAACCCAAACCCATGACTGCAATGATCAATCTTGATCTTATCTAGGTCAGTAAACAGGTAAGGCCATCTTAATCAGTGTATCGTCGTCGTCTCCGATGTCAATGTGCTCCAGTGTTCGATTCGAATAAGGATAGCATATTGCTCAGGATGACCGGTGTTGACCGCACTGGCAGACTTTTCGAGTTCGTCCGTCGAGGTCCCGCGGAAGAACCCGCCAATGCATTTCACCGTCCCCGACCTATCCCGAAGGCGCCTCCCATCATCCGACTTACCGGCGACATCCACCAGATAAAAAGAACGTCGACATGGCCACCCACATCGCTTTCGCCGTCGCAGTCACTTGCAGCATAACACGCCTACACACTTTGCATAATTTGCACACCTTGCATCCTTGAACCTTCAAACATATCTGTAAACCTCTCTAACCTACGCCAACCATGAAGATCGTATCAGAGGAAGAGCTCCAAGGACACACCTCCGCCACCATCCGCGGTGCTACCGAAGGCTTCGTCGGCAGCGTTGCCCTCGCCGTTCCAGGATTCTACTACCTGAGCCGCAGATGGGCGTACTACCGCGCCCTCCCGCTCCCTCTCAAAGTCCTTCCCGTCGTCATGGTCATCGCACCATGCATATCCATCCAAGCCGAGCGGCGCGGTCTCGCATACGACCGAGCTCAATGGTGAGTGCTCCAGCGCCCTTCGATGACTCGAATTATCACAGTTGCTGATGACTTGCGATGCGACGCGTCGATTTAGGACGGGCGCGGGTAAGATGGAACTGGACAAGGAGGCTGCTGAGGCTGAAGCACGGTGGAATGCCCTTTCCACGAAAGAAAAGGTCAAATCATGGGCGATCCAGCACCAATACAGCATTATCCTCGGAAGCTGGGCTCTTTCCATCGCAGCCGCCGGTGGGATCATTGCACGAGACAAGTAAGCACCTCCTTCGACCATACCTGCACACAACCCACCTGATGCTCATGTTCTCCGTTGAATTAGGCACCAGTCATTACCTCAAAAGGTTCGTTTCGCTTAGATCGCGAGGTCTTTCTCTTTTGGTTCCCAACTCACTTGTTTGTTGTTGCCGTGATGTAGGTTGTGCAGGCACGTATGTGGGCTCAGGGTCTCACCATCGGTGTCCTAATCGCCGCTGGTGCTCTTACGCACACCAAACGCCAAGACGCCGTACGACACGTTAGTACCATCTATCTCCACGATCACTCCGCATACTAACACTATCCCAACTCGTTTCCTCAGCTCCCCGTTGACCACTCATGGCAGAGTCTCGTACGTCCATTTCACTGCTTACCTTGTCTTCCTCACTCATCGTCCCATCCTTGTCTACAGCTCGAGCAACAAGCTATAGAGGAAGAAGAAAGGAAAACGCGTCTTAACGCACTACGACAGCCCACTCAAGCTGTTGTTACACCCACCGCATAATCTTCCATATGGACGTCACCTATTGCATAGAAGAAGGGCGCTTTAGAATACCGGAAGGATGCACTACATCCTAGATTTGCACGCAATATTCCATTCATTTATATACACTAGACACATGCCTAGAGCGTAGAACGCACTCCTTCCTTGATTGGGTTTTTTTATTTCGGTTGGCAGGCTCAACGAATTGTATTGTATCATCACCATAATCGAGACAATCATGACCTTGGCCTTGGATACCTCTGAAAACATTGAAGAAAGCATGTTCTGGACCATTTTTATTATTATTATTCATCGCGATGTACTACTAAAAAAACAAACGGATAAGAAGCTGAGACGGGGAGTAGAAAAACAGAGATATAAAAATTGTGTACATGTGGATTGCCAGTTTGCGTGCGACGTTAGGAATCCACGTATGAAACCCAAAGTCTATCCTACATGCAGGAGGGGCTCATGTCACGTCGTCACAATGCCAAAAGTCATTAAACGAGGAATGTCCAAATGGCATCAATCTACCGCCGTCACCGCCGATTCATCCTACATCCATAGAGCACGCAACCGAGGTAAATCATCTCCCCCTGTATATAAATCCTCCCCTCCGTATAATCACACCTGTGGGGGGGTCATACGCGCCGCCTCCCCCATTCCTCCCGGTCATACCATCACCCCATCCCGCATGACACTAACCTCATACGTCGGCGCCTGCACCCTCCTCTCCCCACCACCCACTCCGCCCGCGCCCATCTCCACCTCCCCATGCCCTCCGCCAATATCCCCCTTCCTCATCATCGCGCCCCCCCACTTGGTCCACCAATCCTCCACAGCCTCCCTCGCGTCGAATCCAAACAGCTCGATATACTCCTCCCAGGTCTCCCTCAAAAAGTCCTCGTCGGCTTCGTCCCAGTCTAACAACGCGCGCTTGCGCGCCTGTCTGAAACCCTCGTCCCGCGCGCGCTGCTCGGGGCCGTGAGGGAGGCAGACGAAGTCGCGCTTTTGGCGCTCGGAGGCTTGCGTAGCGGCGCAGCGTGCTTGGCGCAGCTCTTCGTATGCGGAGAGGAGGAGGGGGGTTTGGGCGGGTGTGAGGGGGAGGGCGAAGAGTGTGGAGAGCGTCATGGCGTCTTCGACGGCTAGAGCGGCGTTATGTGAGCCATTGGGCTGTTCATCGCAATCAAGTTAGATGATGACTTATTTTCCGGAGGGACAAGAGCCAAAAGAAAAACAGAAAAAAATGGAGGGGATGGACGAACCATGAGTGGATGAGCAGCCTCTCCGACGAGGACGACCTTCCCGCTCTCGTGCACCCAGTTGTCGAACGGCTCGTGGATGACATGCAACGTCGGCGTTATCGTCGAGCAAAGTTTTAGCAATTTGCGGATTCTGTTCGCAGGCACGAGTTTATCGTTCAGTCAGCATACGGACATAAACGGTAAGAATTTTTGATAAAGGGAGAAAGCACGGCTTACCTCGGCTCGTAATTTTCGAACCGCTGGGCCAGATCGTCTATGGAAATATGCTCGTTCCAGTGCTCGTCCACGCCTTCTAGTGGGAATGGCAAATGTATTACCATGCCGTATTCGCGTTTTGAGGACTAGTATAATATTTGTAATTGAATGCGTGGTGTGAAAAGAAAGGCTAGGGAAGGACGTACGACAAGGAGCGCATGTATACAGCAGTTATCGCCCACCCAAAGTGTCCACTAAAGCAGCATTAGTAAACGATCAATCGGGCGGGTGCATCAAATGAGCTCACCTCTGAAGACTCTGCCAACGGTGCGAGATCCTCGTCTTGCCGCATCAACTCCGTCGGTATCGTGAGACTACAGAAGAAAAAGAAGGCGAGTCAATCAGTGTTGTCATCAGCATCAACATCATTAATTTCTCATCCCCATCCTTCTTCCACCCTATCTCACACAAGACAAAGAAACGAAGGACTTACTTTACGGAGACCCTTCTATCCTTGATTCCCCGCAAAGCCTGCGGGCCCACCACGATAGGGCGCACGACGCTCTTATACCCGTCTGCACCGACGATCACATCCGCAGAGAACTTTGCGCCCGTCTGCAGTGTGACAGTGCCAGCCCATGGGTCGATGGTGGTCACCTTTGATTCATAGCGGAAGAGAACGCCGTTCTTGACTGCGAGGTCGTAGAACAGGGTGTGGAGGTCGCCATGCTGGACGAAGAGGGAGTTAGCCCCCCAAGTGGGAAGACGAAAGGGGGGAGGGGAAACATACCTGGATAAAGAGAAATTCGGCTTGGAGAGCCTTCATAAGTTTTTCGTGAAGAATGAGCAAGCCCATTGTGTCCCCCGATTCCCCTACAAGTGCGAGCATATGAGAGACCGATGTAAATTTTGCATGAAAAAGAAGAGACGTACCATCCTTGAATGTGAATTGTGAACCCTTCATTGACACTTTTGCCAATGCGGGACCTAGACCCCAATAGTTGAGGAGACGTGTCATATTTGGTGGTGAACGTATACCACCATGACTCTACGATCGATCGAGACGAAATGGAAATTGAGTTTTAGCAAGTCGCCAAAAGGAAATGGGCTCACTCTATATGTGCCATCAGACTGCTCGAGGACGAGGACCTGATGACCAACTTCTCTAAGAGCATATGCGCAGGAGAGGCCAGCTATGCTGCCTCCCACGATTATAAAACGGAGGGAATGCGATGGTCTCCGGGATGTCATGATGATGTCTCCAGGCATGTAAGATGTGATTGTATGCGTGTGGGGGATGTATCACGTATATAGGTCTACTTCGTGATGTGGGTGAGAGGGATATCCGCTAAATACGAGATAGACGATGGTGGGGCAGGTTAAGTGAGCAGGGGTGATGGTGGTTAGAAGAAAAGGAGACGAGAAAGTCGGTAGCGATGAACGCTTAGAGTAATAGGACTGGATGTGATGGAAAAGGCCGGTCTTGATATGGAGAGTTGAGACGAAACCAGTTCTATGCGTGATCTTACATCAGATGGCAGCGGGTGTTGCTTTCGGGTTCTTTAGTAGCTGCAGTAGGACACCAGCGTCTCTTCTCGGAGAAAAACAAGACAAAAAGCGACAAACGTCAAACAGAATGCGATGCCAACGTGATACCACATCTATGTATTTTTATGCCCGTCGCACCAGATAATCCCATTCTGAATGCGTACCCATCCTGATAGGCTACACACCATCAGACGCATCAGAGATCATGATGGTCACAGGATTCTCCATGCCGTCGCTCCTCGCCAGCATGTCTCTCCTCCATGCCAGTCACATCTCGCTGTCACCGTCCATTCCATCGACGACGCCCATGTCCCTCGACGTCCCCAGCGATGCTCGCCATTGAAGAGACGCAGCGGCTGAGCGCATTAGCCTATCGTCGCACTGATTTATTGCAAGAGTGTGACCCGAGATACGATCGCAGCTCTTTGCTCTCCCTCGTGGGCCGCCGATCCGGCATGGCGTCCCGGGGCCCAAATGCACCGGCTGATCCCGCGGCTGTCCCCATCTGGAAATCAGTATGCCGCCCTTTGTGCGGATCCTCCAAAGCAGTCTTTCAATCATGTGCATTCCCTAGAATCATCGGTTGGCAGACTAACAACGTATGCTCTTCAATTCCCATCTACGCCCGTCTGTATCACTGGCCGTATCATTCCATTGGTATCATCATCCGCCATTCCTTGCCACATCGAGCCACTCATGAACGGCGAGAAAATCACTGCGCCTTATCAGCGTCACGTCTCTCCCAGCACGTCCCCTGCCAATTTCGCACCCCACCGCGAGTACCGCACCGCGTCCAGTCACGATTCCCAGGAACTGATCTCAGTCAAACCTGCCCTCTCCGAGTCGGCCAGTTAGCTACTGAATGGGGTCAGCATCTCCCATGACATACGGATCGATACCGTCCTGCCAGTGACGCACTCGAACGGCCGATGGCTGCATCCAGTCTGCTGACACGGGAATGGCCACCATCATTCAACTCGCAAGAAACACAAAACAAAAAAAAAACACGCAGTGTTCAGCTCTTCGATTCCTCATTCTCCACGTTCTCTGGCAAACTGCGGTGCATAACGTAATGCCATAGTTGGGGGGGGGGACTCTCTCGGACCATTTCTCCCTCCGTCCTGTCAACTTGAAGCAGAATCAGACGTCCAAAACACCACGCCCACTGGCACCACCGTGCAGCCACTTCATCTTATCGTCTTACCCACTCTTACGATCACCCATCCCTCCCCTCCTTACGGTATACTTCCTTCCCCTGCGGTAAAGACTTGCATCATCCCGGAACGCACCGCGGCACTGACAATGGCGTACACCTAAACGACGTTTAACGTACATGACGCAACATTCAATATAACTCGAACAAGCTATCTCTCGCATTATCTATCTAGCCTTCTACCGCCATGTCGAGAACACCGCGGCTTTTCCACTCAAATTAAATTAGCTTCGTCCAGCCAGCTCAGCCTCCCATTTGAAATTTCAAAAGACTTGCTGTGAAGCTTCTATACCGTTTTAACTATACAACACACAGCCCAGTCGGTCTACTCCACACTTGATTAGTAGGCAAAATGGTCTTCAAGTTACCGTACCGTATTACAGTTACTGTAAAATGTCAAAACACTGGCATCGACAGGAAGAACCGTTGCGTCAGGATAGAGCTGCCAAAAAAAATAGCGAGACAATCATGCAAGGCATATATCACTCAGTTTGTTCATTTATCTTTGGAGTTTCCACTAGCAAGGGAAAAAAAGGACTAGTGGTCCACACTAACCTTTCCGGGGTTAAACAGGTTGTGCGGGTCTAGCGTCTGCTTGATCGTCCTCATCAGCCCCACTGTCCCCTCACCCAACTCGGTCACAAGGTAGTCGCGTTTGCCGATCCCGACACCATGCTCGCCAGTACCTGTACGGAAAGCACCGTATCAGTTCAGTTTCAATATGGATAGGACGAGACGGCAATCAAGAAGAGGAAGAATGAAAGGCTAGAAAGTAGAAACTAGCACCCCCGCTTTACATTGCCGGGGTGAGACCAGTCACTAGCACCTCGAAGGCAAGGTGCTGCGGGTCAGAAGGGGGAAGAACAACGTTGATCTTGCCAGTGACGTCGAAGAAGTAAAGAAGCCAACAGAAGAACCTTACATGTTCCATCCAGCTCGATCGCCTTTCGGTTGATCCTCTTGACAGCTTCTTGAACCAGCCCCAACTCCTTTTCGTCCCGGTAAAGCACGAGCGCATGGAAGTTTCCTTAAGCCAATCAAGGTCCATTTCCAAAAAAAGTATACCCCAAAAAGAAGTCTGCTATCGCAAGTGTCAGAATATCAGAAGGCATCATGCCATCTTTGCATCAAAAACGTCATAGCCAAAAGATACCAAAAGCCAAGTCGCAGCAGTCCCATATCGAGGAATCAAGGTACCAAGGCACGAAGAGAGCCAAGCGTGGATGAAAAGGAAGAAAAGACCCACCATCTCCAACATGCCCCGCAATCGGCGCAATCAGCCCCAGCTCTTCGAAATCCTGCTTGGCCGAATATATCAAGTCTGGAAGGCGAGACACTGGCACACTAGAAACAGCATAGCAAAGGTCAGAAAAGGTCCGAGAAATGGGCTCAGCCAAATCAACAGAAGAAGAAGAAAAAAAAAAGACGCTCCAAAACGATACTAGTTGATAAGACGAAGGAGGAAAGACCGTCAAAGCGAAAAAGAGAGAAATCGAGCGAAACACGAGGCAGCCCCGCAGCCCCTCGCATCAGCTATCACAATCAAAATGATGAATTATTCACAAAACAAGTAGTGTTTTGCAAGATCCATCCGTTACTGCTCCCATCCCACAGGCTCCTTCCGGAGTTATGCTCGTCCACTTCTGATCCTCCGACCTCTCCATCCTACGATAATGCCAGCCATCAAGCTTCACTGGCCAGCATCGCTTTCGCCACAGCTCCACAAATTCCGGGGCCAACACCAAAATTCAGATACCGAACACCAAAAGAAAAACACCAAGAGATAACACCAAAAGCAAAGACTCACCAAACATCCGTCAAACTCCCCTCCAAATACGAAACACCTGTAAACAGAGCATTCCTCCGATCCGCCCAAATATCCTCGCCCTCCCGCTCATCCGTGGCAACTTTGCATCCAGTCGCACCATATTTCGCCGTGATATCGTGTACGAGGGAGGAGGTGGCAGAAAGGGTGGAGGGGGAGCCTTGGTATTTGAAGAAGAGTGTTGTTTTTTCGGGGTGTGGGTTGGGGTGGGTTGAGGGAGAGTGGTATTTGTTGATCATTTTTATACAGAGGTCGTCGATGAGCTCGACACATTCTGTTATAACGTTGATATCATGGCAATAAATAAAAATAAATGAATGAGTGGAAACAAAACGGCAAAGAAGAGGGAGGCGTAAGTAACGTACAAATAGCAGCACCCTGATTCAATACCTCACATACGGCATTCGCAGCCTGTCTAACGTCTGGGAACTGCACAATAGCAACACTCGTTGGAAGGAGTGGGGCCAACCGCAGAGTGGCTGCAATACCGTTTCATACCACGTTTTGTGAGACGTTTTGCGTAGTGCGTAGAATCGGTTGAATATTGATACAGTTACCAGTGAGTGATGTGTATTGTGACTAATGCACATGTGAGTATGGCATGGTATAATGCAAACGCAACCCAAGTGGATATAAGAAAGAAAGATATCAATCATCAGTACCTCAATCTCCAAGTCACCCAAACCACACACTCGCACTCACCTTCCGTAACGATCCCCAACGTTCCCTCTGCGCCTATAAACAGCTTCGTGAGGTCAAACCCAGCAGAAGACTTGCGCGCGCGTTGGCGAGTCTTGATCACTTCGCCAGATGGGAGTACGACGGTCTGTGTAGGAAAATCGGGACGTGAGTGGGTGTGCGTGAGGCGGGGAATGAGTGAGTTTTTCTGATAATGTGACGAGGGTATGGATATAAACTAGGGAGCGTAAAGGATGATGGATAATAGATTATGAGTTGCGTGAAAAAAAAAAATTCTCATCAAATGAAAAAATAGAAAGAGAAGGCAGAGAGAGAGAGAGAGAGAGAGAGAGAGAGAGAGAGAGAGAATGTAGGGGGACGACAACTCACAGCATTCAACACCCACTCGCCCCCCGCAGTCCCATACCTAACCGCATTAGCTGTCCATGCCAAAAAGTGAGTTCAGCATTAGCGTCGCAGTTGTAGTCAAAGTCGTAGTGATATGGGGATTGATGAAGATTGGAATATGGTGGGTGGAAGTAGGGAGTAGAAAAACATGGAAGAAAAGGATAAAGGAAGAACAAGAACAACTCACTCCCAGAGCACCCAGTCGAGATCATCCCTCCTATCGTGGCATCTCGACCTGGATCGAGCTGTAGGGTCGCATTGCATAACCGTCACCCCGCGCGCCGAGAGATAGGTCAAAGCCCCAGTGTAGACGTCGAGTATTGAGCAGGATAGATCCATCGAAGTTTTTTGTTTTGTTTTGATATTGTCGTATTATCGTTGTCGTCGAGAGTCGCAAAAGGTCGTGATTCCATATTTCCATAGTTTCACACATGCAAACACATAAGCATCCCACCACCAAGCAGCAAAAACAGACAAAGCGGACTGACAGGGAAGAACAGCGGGATTCCTGGATGAGATTCGGACGTGCAGACGCGCGTATAGGCAGGCGTGACAGGAAACGTGTTTGATGATGGTTTGGTTTGACCGCACGAGGGAAGGGGACGCGGGGATGGCCAAAGGCAAGATTCGTAAAGTTGACAAGTTGCGAAGTCGCGATGTTTGTAGTGTCGGCAGGTCGTGAGTTCACGAAACACATTCCAGAGCCGTCCGGCGTCGATGCAAAAAAGTTCAAGCGTAGGTTGGAATCGACAAATGAAAATATGAAAGATAAAAGAGCAACGATACAATGACCATCAGCAACTCAACACGACCCACAAAACACGCCAACACGCGCCTTTCTCTCTCAAAATCTCATTCAGCCCGTTCCACGTGACGCCAGCTTGGCAGACAACATCAGAGTCTGATTCTGTGTGCCGTGAGCGAGGAAGAGAATGATGGACGAGTTAGCTTTGATGTTTTGAGAATCGAAGTAGAGGCTGGAAAGAAAGAGGGGACGTGAATGAAGGAGGAGAGAGCTGACCATTGATAGCCACGATCTGATCTAGTCCAGACAAATCGATGCAGATACTTGCAGAGGGGCCAGGCGGCTGTAGAATGGAGACGGGAAGAACATAAGCACGGATGAAAGGATATACAAGGCAGACAAAAAGCTTGAAGGGGAGGAGGAAGAAAGGTGGTAAATAGTTACGTGGGAGACTGTGTAGTAAAGATAAGGGGTGATCTAAAGAGTGAATGGCACGTGCTATATGCCGAATCACCACACAATGCAAGCGTCAAGCAAGGCGAAAAGGGACAAGTACAAAGACTCTAACGACTCACAGCAGACAAGTTGCCCTCGAGGCTGGTTCCTCCCGCATAGGGGACAATGGGTACAAGATGGTTCCTAGATATGTTGACAACTTTAACGACATCATCTGTGCTCCTGACGTGCACAATGACGGCATGTGGAAGTCCTGCAACGCATGACTACTGAATACAATGTCCACACAAAGGCTGGGCAATAACGAAGGTGGACCATAAAGACGAAAGCACGCACCTGGTATCTGGGAATAAGTAGATTGAGCATAAGCATACAGTTCATTCGGGTCTGTTGATACAATAGAGAGATGGGGGAAAGCAGCGCGTAAATCGTCGATGGCGAGAGAGAAATTGGAAGTGGGAGGCGTGTCGATGGGGGGTTGGTGGATGGCGGGAAGTGAGAGGTCATTGATAGGGCTTGGATCGATGCGGAGAGCCATGGAGTAGGCGTTGATGGCGCTGAAGAGGGAGGCGCCACCTGCAGCTGCAAAGACGGCGAGAGCAAGGATGGCATTCTGTGGTTTACGACGAGGGTGGAGTAGGGGTGAGAGGCATGAATGCCCCTGAAGCTAGCAATACTTGTGAGAGGGGTGGTGGTACAGATCTTGCTACAGGGCAGACGAGGTACACGGCTGAAGGAATGAGGGAGATGGGGGAGAGGAACGAGACGTGAAATCGTGAATATCATAACTAGAGGTCATTAGCAAGGGGAGGTGGATGCATTGGGAAACGGCGAAGGTTATATCTGAGAAAAGAGCGAGGATGGATATTCGGAGAGTCTATTCAACTAGAAGCCCACCTTGATTCATTCTAATCCTCGCACACCTTTCTTACTAGCACGGGCTGACTGAGACTTGTCCATCCAGATCAGAGATCGTCGCCGTCGTTTGGTTGAGTCACCGGTCCGTCGATGTCGCCGTCGTCATCGTTCTCATAAATTTGATGAATGTCGGTGGGTACACCCATTGACTTGCATTTGACATGAGACACCATTTGACACGATATTTGAATTTTCGTTCATTCCTAGCTACCATTTTAGAAATACTTCCGTGTCCCATCCATTCTATTCCTCACCTCTCCGATACGCCCCTTGTTCCTGGTCTTCATACTCAACCTCGATTTCCCGACGACGCGGCAATATTCCCATCATGCCCATCGTGCCTACGTGCCTCTCGCGCGTCCCCAATAAAATAAGCATCACCTGATCGTCATCACAGTTGCCTCACAAGGCTGACATCTCTTCCCTTCGCCTCGCGACACCTCGTACGGTTTGACGTCGTCTGATCGACGCCACGTCTCGGACGGCCCCTCATTGGTTTGATATCATCTAATCAACGCCACGTCTGCCTCGCGGGTGCAGTTTGCCAATGGCAACATCCTAATTCAGTATCTATATATCCATTCATACACTCCTTGCTCCTCGGGCCTACAATACATTCGTCTCCAGTGATCCCCATCATGACCCACCTACCATCTCTCTACCATGCAATCGCAAAGGCCGCTTATCAAAGCTGTTCTCGAGTGCGATCCACTAGCGTACAGCTTCAATAAGCTGGCAATTGCGCCACCCATGCATTCAGCTGCGACCGGGATTGGCCCATCATGATGGAGTACCCACTCAGTCCAACGTATGGAATGCGATGGGAACGTATCAGAAATGTCTATCGATGCCTATAGTTGTGCAGGTAATGGAGCCCAAACGAGCTATACTCGCTCACTATCGCTATCGCCATCCTTATCACCATCCCATCCCATCCCGGTCTCATCTTTACACCCCGTCCCATTTGACTTCAACATCACCCCCCCATCATCCTCCGAACCTGCAAACACTCCCAGCATCCAGCATTCAATCCGCATTCGCTCCCGATCAGTTCCCCTTCACTGAGCAAGTCACAAAAGCTGTCAGGCATGCCCATCTACAAAAATGGGATTCCGCTGCATCCACATCTTCATCTACGTTTTACCATTTTTCCAACCACCCCTGAATCGGCGTCGCGTTCCACTCACGCCCCTGACGTCCTAACCCCCCGGCTACCAGTACGCCCGCGACACCCATCAACATTCTTCGATCAGTCCCCCCATTCATTCCTTCTCCAAAAGTTGGACGCACCACGCAGTCGGCCTCCTATTGTCATCCCAC